TTAGGATGCCCCAACTCTCCCTATCAATACCCTACTTTTCGTGGCGTTTTTGACTTAGTATAATTAATAATTAATTGGATTCTTAAAATATGTTATTTAGGTGACAAACAAGTTCAGTATAATGATATTCGAGTCCATAACAAGAAATCAAAAGCCTTAAGGCACGGATGTTCTTGGAGTGCTTTAAAAGGAAATAGGCATGAATAATTATATCTATCTAACTTTGAGCAAGTAGGCAGAGATATCCTTCTTTTTATCATTTCCCAAAAAGTTAACAAACCGGGTGGATATGTAAAAAATATTCTTTCCTTTCCAGCACTTTGATATGTGTCAAAAAATATTCCTCCTGACTATTTCTGCAACCCTACCTACTTTATCACTGAGCGATCATTTAGGAATGAGTAAAGTTCGGCCAACTATTAGATTGTTAGTCGCTATTCACGAACTTAATAGATAGAGGAATTTGATTAAGAAATCGAGAAACGTGATTAGAGCAAAAAAAAAAAAAAAAAAAAAAAAAAAAAAAAAAAAAAAGAAATTTATAGTTATATATCAACCAAGCAATCCTAAAACTTAGCTAAAAAATGGAGTGGTAATGACGATGAAGGTGGTGGTGGACTGAGGTGGTCATCGTGCTGTGATGATTTAGTAACATGACTTGTTGCAAGTGTTACACTGTGTAGAATAATTACAATAGTTCTCTAAGTTACAATTGTTACTTTTATAACAAAAAATTATACGAATATGTAAACCAATATTTTGTGAACGCAAAAATAGTTCCATTTTTTAGGTAGATTGTGAAACTTTCCCCATGGTTTTTAACTTTTGAGAAATCGATTCATTGAAAATAAATATTTTCGAAATCATAGGTTTATGCAATCAATTTATTTAAATATTGGAAAATTATATTTATAAATTCAGTTTCTCTAAACATTTGGACAAATATCCCAATTAAAAATCAATTCACCTTTTAGCAAATTAGAGAGAGCGAAAGAACTCTTTCAAAATCTTCCAATATTCAACATAGAGAGAACCTCTCATCACAATTCATATTGCACGCGTTGGAGAAGGGTTTCGAATTGCTAAATCCTAAGTTCAACGAACATTTTATCGAATCATACAAAACAAAACAAAAAAAAGACTCACATGCTGCACAATAGATGTCATATTAACATTGTATATAGATCATCACACATTACTCATTACTCATATGTCTAGGGCGGCATCCACAAATATTGCCCCTCCTCGAAGCTAACAAACTGTTGGAATCCATCCCCCCTTGAAGCTATCAGGTGGAATACTACTCCTTTTTGTTAGTCATGTTATGCCCATGGTGAGTCATCATCTTCAATGTAATGGTCAACGTTCACCATGAATATACGAGATAAGTGATCGCAATATATTCTGAGATACTAATTCATGTCTGCAATGTAATTTTTGATGTCACAAAATTGCTTATCATTAATATAAATGATTGCATTACCTCATACTACACAAATTGAATTTTAATGTTTCAGGTACAAATTCAGACGTTTGTCTACTTTATATGTAACAGAATTGAAAAATATCAATTTTTTCATTTGATTATTATTAGCCAGTCACAATTCTTTATAATTGCTCAGGCATAGTCACAAAGGTGGTTGCAAAGAGGTTACAAAGAATACCTTGATAATTTTGATAATAAATTATGGTGTGAGAAATAATATTTTTAGTCATATCATATATTTACCTTATAAATCCATCAAACCATATCGCATTATTACCTTTTCTTTTAAGTCCCGTTCGGTAGCCATTTTTTTTTTCAAAATGCATTTTTCTCGCTTTTCTTTTCAACCACACATTCTTTATTAAAATAATATTACACGTAAATAAAAAACTTTTCCTTATTTTTCAATAACACATTTCACATCAATTTACTATTCTAAAATGCATTTTTACATAAAAATGCCTATCAAATACTCTCTTAATATCTAATTATCTTATTTTATGACCTGATTTCTACCAGGTTATTCTTATTATTATGTTTAATCAAAGTTTTGTTATTTGTCAAAATGAAACTTTAGACAGTGACATTTTCCCTTTTTTTAGGTTTTAATTTGGATTTAGTTGTGGGCTGGGTTTAGTTTTAGTTTTGATTTAGTTGTGGGTTAGGTTTAGTTTTAAGAGAAAAATTCACAAATCAGGTGTCCACTATGCACAATTCAATTTTCAAATATCAAGTTTCAAAATGCAAAACTCAAGTTTTAGCCAATTAATTAAATATATTTATTAATTAAATATAATAAGGTCAAAATTATACAAGTAATTGTCACAAGTACATAATTATAGATGACAATTTATTTATTGGTCACATATTATTAAATTAATTGGTTACATGTTATTTCAAGTAAAAAATCAAAATATATATGAGTCACAATTTATTTCATTGACCACAGATAAAAAAAATATATGTCACAATTTATCTATTAATCACATATTTTCAAATTTTTTGGTCACAAATTATTTTATGGTCGAAATTATAGAATCTTAAGGTCATAGTTAAATAGGTTGTCATAGGTAACAACCACATATCACCACCACTTCAATAGATCCAACTGACTGAAAGCAATGTGCTACTATCCAAAATTGGATCCCATCAACTGTAGTGGCAGCAGCATCACTGCGCTTGCTACGAACCACCAACTCCATCAGCGCTGCTTTGAACCTACTCCTAACATCTGTGATGTTCCCTTCAGCCGAAGAATTGTAGAGGCACACCGTCGTCCCGATTTCGCTTGTAGAGGCATTAGCTCACGTAGCTTTAGATCTGTGCTTCCGCAATGTGATGGTGGTGTTTGTGGGAAGGCGTGAATGGTTGTGGCCAAATGGGTTTGGGGTGGAGGAGGGAGAAGTGGTGGTGGAGGAAAAAGGGTTTTTATGGTACATGAAGTGATGTGGGAACAATTTAGGGTTTGTGGTGCATCCCTTGGGCTTTGAATGTGATCTAGCAAAAAAGTATACGATATTTTTAGAACATCTCCGTCCCCGAGGATAGTTGTTGTAAGCATCGATATCGTCAACAACTTCCAAAAACGAAAAAGGTTGATCACAGTCTTTTTATGTTGACACCTCACCACGTGCTCAATGATATAAATTAGTCCTAGCTTCAATCTATTCAACATATGGTCATAGTCCCTGATTACGCCAATTAACTGCAGTAGAAGCATCGTTCCCCCTATCTCTAAAAGTAGGCATCGTACAGCCTACTGCTTCTTTGAGTAATGTCGCTAGTTGCTTCATCACAAATAATCTTTAGTTTAGTCATCATGGCAAGCTCAAACATAAAAACTAGTGACCTTGCTCCTGAGGTTGAAGTAGAGGACATCGCCATCGATTGGCCTAAGTAGCCGACATAGTAATGCATCTATGATTTGCCCGGAGTGTTGCATTTCTTTCAACTGATACATGGGCCACTAGACAGTTTGACGTAGCGTATCTTCGTGTAGATCATCGAACAATTCCAATACAATATTAAAATCATAAAAGCTGTTATTCTATGTACATTTTTTCACCATCTGTCTCAACTCAACATCCAGATGGTACTTCCTCCTACAAAAATTCAAATGTTAGAAACTTCGGCAAGAGATGATGGAATAAAACATAATCTCAAGAAATTAAGTGAATCGAATTCTAACTACCATATGTAAGAAATAGATTTATTTTACATCGACGCTAATAAAAAATGATTTCATAAATTAACGGAAAAAATAGAAAAAAATTACAGACAAAAATAATTAAAGAAAATAATAAAAATAGAAAAATTAAATTATGATAAACAAAAAATAATTAAGAAATTTAAAAAATGTAAGAAAAATATTAAATCAAATACAAATTAATGATCAAAATAATAAAGGAAAATAAATTAAAGTTAAGCAAGAATATTAAAAAGTATTTTAAGTTGAAAATAATTAAATTATAATAAGTGAAAAATAATTAACAAAATTTTAAATTATTACTAAAGAAATAGTAATAAAAACAAAAAAAAAATATTGAACAAAAGAAAATTTTAAAAAATTATATAAAGAATGTAAGTATTATTTAATTAAAATTGAATAACATTAAATTTCTCATAAAATGAAAAGAATTAAAAAGAATTTTAAATTGAAAAAAACTTTATATATAATATGAAGAAAGGAATTAAGAAAATTTAAAATTATTTTAAAAAAATAATAAAAAACAAATTAAACGAAATGAAGTTGCAAAAATTAAATAAAAATAAAAATATTATTTAAAATTGAAAAAAAAATTGAATTATCATAGAGAGAAAATAAATTAATAAACACTAAATAATGAAGGAAAAAACGGCTAAAAAAAATTGTTTTGGGCCGACTATTAAACTGTTAACAATCATATGTGCCAATTGGCCCAAAACTCAATTATTTACAGTTGGGTTGAGCGACTATTTAACGGTTTGCTTCTCTTGTCGAAAATGACAATTAAAAGCTATTTTTTGACAATATAAACACTTAAATTACTACTACATTCAATAATTTACTTAAACAATGAAGAAAAAACAACATAAACATCATAAAATTCACAATTTTTGAAACAGTATAAATGAAAAATCAATCTCATAATCTACCAAAATCTAACTTGTTGAAGATAATGCCATCGATAGTCGGACGGTGAGGATGTGATTTCATCTGAATCCCGATTGTCAGAGACTGCTTGAGGTTGGATTTTTATTTTTTTTATTGAGAGATGCTACACTATCAGATTCATTTGCACAAACTTTGGACAGGTAAGTGAGTGTGGTATTATTTGTGCTATTTTTTAATTGGGTGGGGCTCACCCCATTATGAGTAATATGTACAAATTCTAGAAGAATCAATTTAGTGGAATAGCCTCTTTTTTTTTTTTATTCCTCCCCTCCTCTCGTTTACTTGCACTGTGATGAGGGTATTTTTAACTTCTGGTATTTAACCTCACAATTTTAACTTTTCAATGGTCAAAGGCCCCGTGCCATTTCCTTTTATTCCTCGATTCTAAGTCGCAACTATAAGAAGGAATAAAAACCACCGTGGTTCCAGCTTCCGCAATTCACTGTATTCAAGAACCTCCCAAAACTCCTGCAAAACCCTAACATTGAAACACAAACACTCAAAGATTGTCATGAATCCCCTCCATATGCATGATTAAAGAGGCTCTTCAATTCTTCTCCCACCATTTGAAGAGAAATACTTCTCCCCACTCTACCACTTTGAACAAGTACTTGCACTGCCTCTCTCGCTCCAGCTGCAGTGATCTCTCTCTTAAGCTTCTCCTCTACTTCATTTCCAAAGGGTACACTCCTCATCCTTTTTCTGTCAATTCAGTTATCTCATATTTGTGCAATCTGGGCCATCTTAATTCTGCCCAGAACCTGGCGAATTCACTTTTTCGCCTTGGTTTTTCCCTGGATATAGTCACCTATACTGCCCTCATTGATGGGCATTTGCGTAATTCGGACGTTGCTAATGCTTGTTTGACAATGAAGGAAATTGTTTGTAATGATAATATTGTGCCTGATGTGGTTACTTTTAATGTGCTATTTAGAAGGTTTTCCAAGGATGGAATGGTAAAAGAGTTGCTTGCTTACATGAGTTTGATGTGGAAAGTTTGCATGCCTAATGATGTTACTTACTGTAATTTGATTGATATGTATTGTAAGATGGGTGATTTGGATATGGGTCTTAGGGTGTTCAAGGACATGACAAAAGGTGGGGTTTTGCCCAAATTTCTTGTCTTTACTTCCTTGATTGATGCGTATTGTAGGGTTGGTGATTTGGAAGTGGCATTTAATTTGTACAAGGATATGCACGCGTGTTCAGTTTTGCCGAATGTGGTTACTTATGTGGCTTTGATTGACGGGTTCTGCAAGCAGGGGATGTTGCAGAGGGCTGAGCATTTATTTAGGAAAATGTTGAAAGATGGGCTGTTACCTAATTCTGTTGTTTATACTTTGATTATTGATGGGCATTTTAAGAGAGGCAATGTGGATAGGGCGCTTGAGTATTTATCTGAGATGCTTGCTAGGGGCATTAGACTTGATATAGTGACTTATGGGGCTCTTATACAAGGGCTTTGTGCTGGGAATAAACTGGAAAGCGCAGTTGAGGTTAAGGAACATATGGTGAAGAACAGATTGGCACCTGATAATATCATATTTTCTACACTTATGCGTGCATATTTCAAGGCAGGGAATTTGAAAGCAGCACTAGATGAGTACAAGGAATCGTTAGCACAAGGGTTTGAGCCTGACATTGTGACTCTAACAACATTGATAGATGGCCTCTGCAAGCATGGGCATCTGAATGAGGCAAAAGGACATTTCAGTAAAAGTAAAGCTAATGAAGTTGTATACAGTGCTCTTATTGATGGCATGTGCAAAGAAGGAGAATTTAGTCAAGTTCAGATGCTTTGCAAGGATATGGCAGAGGCAGGCATTGTTCCTGACAAGTATATTTATACCTCTTGGATTGCAGGGTTATGCAAGCAAGGGGATTTGGTTGAAGCTTTCAGGCTCAAGAACAAGATGATTAAAGAGGGCATTATTCCTGATTTGTTGACCTATAGCTCTTTGATTTTTGGGTTGACAAATAAAGGCCTCATGATTGAAGCAAAGCAAGTCTTTAATGACATGTTGGAGAAAGGAATAACTCCTGATTATGTAGTTTATGATATCCTAGTTAGAGGATACACTGTGCAGGATGACACTGTTAGGATTTCACAATTGCAGGATGAGATGACAAAGAGAGGTCTTATCAAGGAAACAACTGATGTGGACATTAGAAAGCTATAATTTTTTTTTATGGCAATTGCTAACTTGCATTTGTCAAATGAAAGCTCATCTTGGAGCTTCCTTTGGAACAATTTTAATAGATTATGTGGGAGTCTTATGCTTCTGATCAAGATATCCACATGAAAAGAGGTGAAAGGCATTTTTGTACACATGAATTCTGGAAAAGGCAATTACTTGGCCTTGCAACTTCTTGTGTACACTATTTTTGAAAGGCATTTTTTTACAAATGAATTCTGGATAGCAATTACTCGCCTGTACAACTTCATATGTACACTACTATTGCCATTTAGTTATCCATGTTGTAAGTTGTAACCAATATGCTACAGAAGTCAAAAAAGTTTCCTTTTCAATTCGGCAGTACCCAAACTTGCATATTATTCTCACGTATGTTTAGGTGACCTTTTAATTTTCTGTTCACACCAGAAAGCATAATAATGTTTCAATTCATGTCTTTGTTTTTACCTGTCATCAGGTGACTCTTTTAACACAAATACGTGGCCACTGCTACAACTATTCCAGTAACTCGTTCAATACTGAGATGAGTGGGTAAGTGTCTTTTTCTCAGCAAATTGAAATTTTGGAGTAGGAATTTTCTTTGAAATGTGTATTGTTAGGTCATATATAATCCATCAATTGTATCTGCTTTCCATAAGATAATGCAATATATTCCTCATATCCTTTTTGTCGTGGAAATCCCTCGATAAATCTTGATTTTGGGCTCAGAAAACAATCAAACAAACACCAGTTTACCTTGGCTCGACCCAAGAACTTTCCTTCGCTTTGGACTGCTCAAACTCCACAAAGAAGAAGGGATGATAGTGGTGATAGGGAGAAGAAGAAGCAGCAACAATGGTGGACTCACTCCAACAACCACCAAGCAGGCTGCCCCCTCACCTCCCTCGGCACTCTCTCCCTCTCTCAACACACACCACCATTAAAAAAAAGGATGCAAGAAGATGGCATATATAGGGTTTGTTTAGGTCACTCCAATTGGGCCAAAGGTTCACTAAGTGGGTCACTAATTAACCATAAAAAAAACGGATGCAAGAAGATGACATATATAGGGTTAGTTTAGGTCACTCCAATTGGGCCAAAGGTTCACCAAGTGGGCTACCAATTAACCTAAACTAATGGACTAATATGCAACTTCATATTAATCTTTAAATGGTCCAACTAACCAAAGAACCTTCTAACCCCAACCCAAGCCATCTAAAAGTGTAGTTCGTTTCTGAGTCGAGTCAAGTTTATGGTGTCGATAAATAATCCGACAACTGTTTTAAATCATCACCCGGATTATTTGGTATCAAAACCCAACACTTTCCATGTTTTATCTACTGCAGTATCTTATTCTTTTGTGTTGCTGTTTGAGCTATGATTAGCCATGGAACTAGAGGAAGGAACAGACAAAAGATGGAATTAAAGTTGCCAGAGAAAATTTATTTAGCCCCCATTTGTCTACCATTCTTCAAAAACTCTTTTTTACTGAAACTCATTTTTAACAACATGTTCTCACAATAAAATATTTTACACGTAAACCCAAAACCTTTCCCTGTTTCTCAACCCCACATTCTCTGGAAAATCTCTATTCCAAAACTCATCTTCCCCCTCAAAAAAAAAAACTCTCTTTAATGCGCATCAAACAGGGGCTAAACTGGAAATTTCACTGGAAAGAGCAAAGATCCATTTCAGTGGTACCTTCTACGCTGTAGTCTTGTGAACAAACAGCCATGTCTGATAATTTACGTTTCTGAAAGAGGAAAGCTTTGCATCAGTATAGCTGTTTTCTCTTGGCATTTTGCCGTCAAGACAGATATCAGCATATTTATTCACGAAAAATTTTGATCTAACTTGTATGATTTGGTAGATGCTGATAGACTTTCAATCACATTAAGCTTCTGATTTTATTTTTTATTTTGTCACATTCATCAGGAACTTCCCTAAATCATGCCGCCATCTTCAAAATTCGTTGGTAATCCACTGATCTATACACAGTGATACTCGCTACTTCTCACCACAGCTTCAAATAGTAATGCTGTTGCCCACTTAAATGAGTTCCAAATTACCCTAAATTTTGGTGTGAAATATTCTTGTCTGCGTGCATGACGAGGAACTTCATGACATCTCTAGGAACTCTCAAAGGTAAACTGTTTGTGAATATTCATCCAATAAGTTCTTTCAAATTCTGATTGGATGTATGCATCTTTGAAGAATACAAGTACAGAGTATGGTCAATCATAAGTACCAACAAATCCACTTGAGAAAATTCGTCAACAATACTTTATGTTTGTCATAATTCTAACCTCCCTCTTTGAAAAATAAAAAAGTAAGTGTCAGGTATTTAGAATCTCAAGCGTCCAGCAACAAACATAGTGACTAAGTTTTGAAGGAGCTAAAAAAGACATGCATATTTACTTTTTGTATTCAATGTTTGTAGAGGTTCAGATATATATTAAAGTTTCTGAGTTTCGTAGTGTGCATTTCTTGGTAATAGTAACTTACATGAGCTGTTGTTTCTGATACATTGATATCTATTTACACACAAATTGACAAGCACAAATTACGGAATCCCTTTTTTTTTGGAAAATAGCCCTCGTGCGTTCTTTAATATGTTCGGAACAGTTGCCCTTAAGCTAATTTGCATGTTAAATCATGAAGAATAAAAATATTTTGATAATCTATATTAAATAGTTGTGTTAGTTAACCCTAAGAGATAGTTCAGTGGTCAGGTTTTGGGTTAGTTTTTTAATAGTCACCGATTCGAGTCTTCTTAGAGCCACTAAAATGAGTATTCGGCTGTAAATTTTAGGGCCCCGTAGGATTAGTCGAGGTGAGCTTAAGTTGACCCGGACATCCATGGTCATCAAAAAAAAAAAAAAAAAAAACCATAGTTGTGCTACTTGCAATTTCTTTAGTTCAAGAGTACAAAAGTGAGATAAATCCCTATCCCCAGATCTCTTTTGCAATATTTCGTGTTTGCAACTTGATATTGTCTTAATACTTCTCCCTATTGTGTGATTGGAACAGTAAGACAGGATGTTTTTAGCTATTTGAGGGTATGGCTTTAATTGTCATTAAGAGAAGTAGCAATGATTGAAGGGAAGCTTGAAGAGCTTTCTTCGCACCAGCAGCTTATGTAGTAGTCTGCCTTACTTATACACAAATATCGACCAGGATAACCGATGCGGTATGAGGTTCTTATAGACCCGTTACATATATTTTGCTTAAGTCAAATAAGCCTTATTTTTGAACTACTGGAATGTGACTTGATCTATGAATGGTAGTGTTCAAGTTTTTTTCCCTTGAACTGATTGGCTATTAGCAGCCAGTTGATCTATTAGAAGGTAACAATGTGCCCCCCTCAAAGCAAGGTAACAATAGTCATTTGGGGGGAAAGAATGGAAAAAAAACAATCTAATAACAATAGTCATTTGGGGGGAAAGAATGGAAAAAAAACAATCTAATCGAGGTTGAAATGAGAGAGATTTTCAAAAGATTATTTGATTCTCGTCTTTCAAAATATTTCCATGGATATTTGGTATTTTCTGAATCCTAATTTAAGGAATCATAAAAGAAATCTTTCAACAAAGATGTGATGTAGATATAGTGCATAAACTTTTGGATTGTGCAGATTATGTAAGATTGATGGTTACTTATAAAAAAAAAAATGTAAGATTGATGGTCAACTGGGTTAACCGTCTATAGAGTTTTTACATGTTGCTATTTGGTTGTCAATCTTCAAGAATCAAACTTGCACAAACATCATCATGATTTGTTATTTTTGAGACTTCATTTGATCGTAAACAGTGCTTACAAGCATATGAACATCTTTTTTTTTTCCCCCTTGTGGGTACACGAAGAATTAGATCGGTTATGTTGACTATTAACGATTTTGATCAGTGTCATAAAATTAAAAATGCCAAAATTCTGGATAATAAATGGTCAATTATTGGAGGTAAGGGGATAGAGACTACAATGATTATGTCATAATATGATTGATAAAGACATTAGAAAACTTTCATTTGATTAACTAATGGAATACTTTGAGACAGTTTATTCTTTTATTTAAAGATTTCACCATTTTGAAATTAAAATGAAGCCCAACAGGGCTTAATATATTGATCTACTCATTCATGAATATATATATATATATAAACAATTTTTTAACAATATTTTAATCACACATTTTTTAACAAAATAATATTATTTGTAAATTTAAAATTTTCTTTATTTTGTAATCATATATTTTTCATTAATATATTATTCAAAAATTTATTTTTATGAAAAGAATGGGCTCAAATAAGGGCTTAATGGTAATATTTCACTTTCTTATACAAATTGATCAATATATATAATAATGTTTGGTAACAAGAGCCAACTCTAGTTTCTATAAATAAATAGAAATGAAATAAACTTAATCCCAAATTCAATGCGGACTGCATCTTCCCTTTCTCCGCCCTCAGAAGTCGCCACGCCATCTCTTCCCCTCTCCACGCCCACGCCACCTAAATCCGCTCAGCCCACTTCTCTATCCTTGCCAGACTCACTGTTCAGCTCCATTCCTGAACTCCACAACCAAAATTAGGGCAAAATGTCGTCGGAGCCGTCTACACCGACCAACTTCTCCTCCATGGCCCCACTCCTCCGCCGCCGTCAGTCGGACCCCTCCCGTCCCTCCCCTCTGTCTATCCTCCTTTCACGCATCGTCTCCTCCCAGCGCCGCGGCGGCGCTTCAGTGCTGGTACGTGAGACCGCTGCTCGTGAGCTCGATGAGCGCCGCGCCGACTGGGGATACTCCAAGCCTGTCGTTGCACTCGACATTATGTGGAACTTGTCCTTCGTGATTGCGTCGATTGTGATGTTGATTTGCACGGCTGATGAGAACCCTACTGTGCCCATTAGGGTTTGGGTCTGTGGATATGCGCTACAATGTCTTGTCCATGTGATCCTCGTTTGGATAGAGTATAAGAAGCGGAATCCGAGACCTAGGAGAAATGGGAACAGGGGGACAGTGGAGGATAATGATTTTGAGAATGAGGAGTACGAGAGCATCGGGATTTCTAATAGCTACAGGTTAGCTCTTTTTTTGTGTTATTTTTCATGTTATAGTATCATGTAGAAAGTATTTCTCGGCTTCTGGGAGTTTAATTTTATGATTTCTTGGGTTATTTAATGTTTTTTGCTATCTCCTTGTCTACTTGAGTTGGAAATGAATTTTAATCAGTGTTTAAATTACCTGATACATTGGATACTGATGTTGCTGGATATAGCTCCACTGCAACTCTGATACCTGAAAAAGATGAAGGCTGCTCCCCAGGTTAACTCCAACAATCAAGTCAGTGGGTTGTATACGAGTATTTAGGGAAACTTTGTATTTACTGTATATAAAAGTGGAAGAAGAAGAAAAATACCTGTCTCCGCTTTTCTTTTTTTAGGTATATTTACTAGCTGAACAGTTCTGTCAGGTGAGGGGCGCATGTTGTGTTTTCCGAGGTTTGGTAAATAGAATCTTGCTCTAATGTGTCATTTTTTAATGAGCTGGCATAAGTTTATGTCCCCTTAGATGGCAGATGTTGGGTGTTGCACTTGTCAGTTAGCAGCTACTTGTCATCAAGCTTTGACCTGTGGAAGTGGACAACGAGCATAGTTTTAGTGTACAGCTGTGATTATGGCGAGCATTGCCCATGGTCGAGCATTGCCCCGACAATTGACTGAATTGTTATGAACCATAGTCAAGCACTATCTAACTATGAATTGATATGCACCTCACAAGTGAAAGTCGAGCAATACTGATATCGAGACCTTAATGTTGACTTTGGAGGGCATGCTCACTCAATAGTGAGATCAGTTGGTGCTCCTAGATTGACAAATAATGCTCATACTTGATGCCTTGTATTCATCTACCATCATTGCCAATTTCTTGTTCATTTGATATGATTATGTGTATGTAGCAGGTTTAAATATATGCTTGTTTGTGCTTCGTTGTTTTGGAATTCTGGGATTATAGTTTCGGTTTGTTGTTAACTGCATAGTATTCTGAGATTAATTTTACCACTAGTGATAATATATATGTTTTAAAGTGATAATCATACTAAGACAATCTATCAACTGTCATTATAGAATCTTTGTTTTCCCTGTTATATTAGTCTTTGAATGATTTGTCTTAGAAGGCTAAAATGGTTGTGCAGTTACTTAAGCCTCCAGGAATACTGAGCCTAACTGTTAAATAAAATAAAAATAAATAAATAAAATAAAATAAAACCAATGAATTACTTCTTAAAAAATGAAAGACTTATGAGATATTTAAGACTTATGAGATATATATGTATATGTATGTGTGTGTGTGTGTGTGTGTATATATATATATATTTTATTTTTTTTTTAAAAGGAAACCTAGAGAAACGGAAGCAAGAACACAAAGAGAACAAGAAAATGTAAAATAAAGAAATGGGTTATTATACATCGTCACTTCTCGAAATAGGGAATCCTCATTTTAGTCTCTGGTCACTAGTCTTCTACTGTTGATAAGTTGCAACTTCACTTTGGGGATTAAACAATTTTTATAGGAATAATGAGCAAAGTCATGCACAAGTACCTCAGTTATTGTTTTTCTAATTGCCAATTGTTCTTTTCCTTTGATGAGATATGTTTTAAACATTTTTCTCCTCATATTTGGTTCCTAGACAGAGATAAATTTAATATTCTTCTGCCTGACTTTAGGATCAGCCTTCCCTTTTAACTGACTTATACTATTTAAATAGACCTTTGTACTCTCTACTTTAGGAAGTTTCCATAGCATTCTTTTTTGGCCTTAACCATCTGGAATTCTCTCATTTGATTCCCTACTACCTCCTTCACTAGATTTTTAATGCTACTATCCTCCTTACTTTACATCAAGTTACTATTTCTATCTCGTATGATCTTCGTCATGCAAAACTATATTAGTAAACTCACTTGTATTTTGTCTTGTACGTTTTACTGTGCGGTTTTAGACTCGAAACTGAGATATGTTTTTCCATTTCTTTATAACCATATCAGTTGCCATTAGTCTATCTTGCATAGTTGGCGGGATAAATAACCTAGGAACAACACTAAATTGTTTCCTGTTTCTGAAAGTTATACAATGATATTCTCTTTTTGAAACGGTAAGTCATCTTGAAGTCAGAAAAATGTTACCTTTCATCATTCATTCCCTGAAGTTAGTTTTTGTGTACTCTTTTTATGTTTTAAATTATCTTCACTTTGATGATCGCTTAATTTCCTTTAATGATTATCTAATCTTGATTAGTGATTGCCACAGTAAAGCCATCCGTGCATTCCCAAAGTCTTTACCTTGTTGCGTTATCTAATCCTATTTGTAAAGTGCATACACTACTGATACTAATACAATCTTCTACCTTCTCATTATTAAATCGTGTTCAATGATTTTTAAGTAAATCAGTGAATAGACTTTACTCACACCTTGAGTAAATCTGGAGTACCATGCAGCCTGACAAGACGGCTGCTATCACTCTCCAACAGTCTAAGCTAAGAGATGGGTACTTGACAGCTGAAGGTTTTGACTACTTAGTTACTCGAGTTGGTTGGCTTCTCTTTATCATGATAGTCTCTAAAAGAGAATGTGAGGTCTGCCTAAGTGGATTGAGGAAATATTGACTTTGTTCTTTGATATAGAAACGTAAAGGATCCCATTTGAGCGGGTTACCAATTTAAAAGCACAATTTGTTGGAATTGATCGAACTTTTTTCGATCCAAAGTGCTATCGTACGTTGCTATTCTTCTTACTCATAACCAAAGTTTATATCACACGTTCCCTAATTCTTTCACATGAGCTATGTTATCTCTTGTATGCAACCTATGTAGACTACACGTATGAATAGCCTTTATTGACTTGTTACCTTGGATCTGAGCATAAAAACCCTTGTTATTTGATACATCTTGACACAAAATGCCCCTTCACTAATAACATACGTCTTAGCTAACCTTTTCCTACGTTTAATGGCATTCAGGATTTGATGCCATGCATTGTTAGTAGAGGACGTAGTAATGAAACATTTTGAAGGACTCATAACAATCTTGGTGATCAAGTGCACTGTTGCTCATGTATCCTTAGGCCGTGACTCTAAACTCTGTCCTCACGAGTCACAAGTATACCCCATCTGACTAAAAGCTTATTCTGTGGCACAAACATGGAATTATATAACTTCTGCTATGAGATAACACTTGCAGTATGTGTACATAGCATGGAGGTGAAGGGAGACTAAGGAAATAATTAGTTATAAAAAGGAAAGGTTGGAGACGATGGTGTTGATAGTTACACTGTTCTTGGGAATGATATGTGAGTTGCTGACCATGTATGTGGAAACCTATATGCTTTCTAAAAAATCTTGCCGCAGTAGTTCTTGTGTTTTGTTCTATAATTGCACTTTATTTTAAGGATGTGAAGTAAATTGGATGGTCTTATTATATTTTGATGAAAATTGCAACACTGGGTTTTATGGATTAAAAAAAAAACACTGGTAAGGAATTTTAGGAAAGTTTCTTCTTACTCTAAGACAATATAGAGTTCAACAAGGACAACCTTCTTTTTCTTGGGATATTATTCTAGGCCTTTATTGGTTTATGTGATTGTCGAAATGTTCTCTGTTCTTAGATTTAGCTTCATGTCTGATTTTGTGCATTTCAATTATAGTTTAGTATTTTACTTGTAGATTTTTTTTTGTGCAAGCACTACTTGAACTAAACATTAACACGTAATATCCAGAGTTTAAGGATTCAAATCCAGAGAGCATGATTTAATCCCAGTGGATTTTCCTTGGCATTTCCGTTCAGTTTGTTGACCTTGTGATAAGCTTTGGAGGTGACGGACCAAGGCATCAGCAGTACTTATAATAATTTTCTGACGAGATATCAAAGAAACTACTGCTGAGTGCTAATTTTGAACTGGAATGATCTTGACGAAAGATTATAACATGCAAAAAAATTGTAGAATGATCTCAAACTGTGTAACATGTGTTCTGTATATATGAAGTAGAGTAATGATGAAGTAATATTTTATCAGTAAAGAGATGTTACTGGATAACTATGGAAGATAACTGCACTAACAAATTTAGGTAAATAGAAGTGATGTAAGCTAAAGAGTGTGAATGAACCAGCAATGCTTACCATTGTCATATTTTAATTATCTTTTGGCACTGATTTATGTTTATCCGTTCTTATTCTTTTTTGAGGGATACTATACCATGCAATTCTTTTCCTCTTTTTGGTAAGCAATGGGGCTGGGTTGGGAGAATGGAACACATATTAAAGGTAAAGGGTCTGCCCCTAATTACTTGTGTGTAAATCAGTTTGCGGGTGATAAAAAATGTATTTGCTATTAGCCTTGTTCCTGTAAGTTGCTGTAGAAACATCAACTATTCGCATTATTTACTTTGGTTTAATGACATTTCAGTATTTCAAAACGTTGTGAATCGGCGAACACAATGGTGTCGTTTCTCTGGTGGATAGTTGGCTTTTACTGGGTTGTCTCTGGTGGTGAAATTCTTTTAAGAAGTGCACCGCGTCTGTACTGGTAAGTCCATAACCTGTCTCATTTAATGTTTCAAGCTCAATTTACTGTCGTTGTCATGTCATACAGTAATCGTTCTGATTTTCTTAAGAAGATAGAGCATCTATTGGTCCCTTAAATGGTGAAACCATCTCTGAAAGCCACTTTTGCTTCTTTATGGCCATTAAAATATTTCGTCAATTTGGGATTTATACTGTTACTTTTGTCTCCTACCTGTTTCAAATTTAAATGCTCAGATTTGTCTCCAACAACGACAAATTATTTTTTAGCTTCATCCTGGAATGTTTTGGTGATGATGCTTCGATACTTCCTAAGTAAAAGCAGAAAACAAATGATATTCATGTCATCATCAATTGGTGTCTCTCATTTAAGAAAAACCTTTTTATTTTTTTTGGGGGCTTCCATCTTTCACTAGGAAGATTGGATTGCCTGAATCACGAGTACATGGGGCTTAGTGACTTGAAGAGACCTTAGAGTTTGAAAGTACCGAGGCAAATAAATTTAAAATTCTCTTCATTTTTTCCCCTTTTGCCATAGATAATTGTAGTCAACTTTTTATGACTGTAAAACAAACATGGAACTGACTTAAAAAAGCAAAATCCATGAATGGTATAGATTGTATCACTAGCTGCAGTTCATTATTATGCTTCCTAAGTGTCATTTGTAATATTTTCTGCTGTTTCATTTATATTTAGAAATGACAAAGTTTTTAATTGATCAAATATACTACAGTGTTTGTGGGGGTGTGGGTGATGATAATAACATTTTTTGATCCAAATTCAATATCCTAATTATTTGACCCACTTTTATGTAGGAGGAAACATGTATACTGGTTGTGCCCTTTTTGTTTTAGCTTCCACATAAACTTTCAAGTTATATATGAAGCCATTGTGTATTCTTATTCTTCATCTGAAATCTGCTTACGTAGGGTCATGATGTTCATTTTATTAGTAACACTTCAACAAGTATTAGTTCAATAAGAGTTGATTCAAGTGGAATGAAGGCCATCTCCTACCATTTGCACCAAATTGGTGAACTTTCACACCATTTTGTGAAGTCATCTCCAACCATTACACTAAATATTATACTAAATGTATTTAGCCTCTATTTGGGCTGGACGATTGCATTTTTTTCTATTATTTTCAACTACGCATTCTTTAATAAAATAATATTACACATAAATTCAAAAAAATTCCTTATTTTTAATTACACATTTTCCAAAAAATTACTATTCCAAAATATATTTTTAATGGGGCCAAAACAGGGGCTTATTAATTCTTTATAGGTTGATAAAATTTTCTAATAAATGTTAATAAAAAATAATAATCAAAGTAAAATGAAGTTAAATCATTAAATAATGAAAGGATATAATAGAAAGTAAAATTTGTTGTAATATAAAATGAAGAGCAAAATAGTGATACTGAAAATTTTCGAAAATTACACATGTCAAATTGGTGTGGTGTTTTAGTGTACCACTGGTGTGGGGAATAAGGATTTTCTACCCGGTACGAGTGAGTAATGATTGATTACAAGAACTATAATAATTGAGCATTTTATTTTGAGATGAGCACTAGGAATACAATATGTTCCACGTAAAATTAAAAATAAGAAGCATTATGCGTTGAGGATGGTGTAGGCGGTCCGCCTTGCCTAACTTTTGGTAGATTTGAAACCAAACTGTTTGAGAGACTGAAACCTAAACCTAATGGTTCGGTCCAATTGTAAGTTACAGTTTGATTGTATATTTTTTTCATGGTCATTTTATAATTACTAGTTTATAGATTATAAAAATTTTTCATACTGCAAGGTAAGTTAATAAAAAAGGCTATATATATAAATATAAATTAAAAATACCAAACAAAAAGTCACAATAGAACATGACAAAGGGTTTCGTTAACTTTTTTTAGGCCAATACGTCGTCATACATATAAAGGTTATGAAAACATTTTCACGATCCTCATAATAACTTTGAAAAGGACTTAAATAGATTAAAATAATATAAACAACTACAATGTTTGCAACCTGAAGATTAAACACTGAAGAGGATTTTGACTTTGGTGTATGGATTGATTAGTGATGTTACGAATTTAAGGTAATTATTGTTACTATTTTGTAATGAACAATTGATAAAATTACCCACTTTTGTATTAAATTCTAATAGTTTTATTTTATATTTAAGGTTAAGATTGTAATTTATCAGTCTAATTTCCGGCCGAAATTCAATTTTTTTATTATATTATTTAATTTTTAATTTTTAAACGGCCCCATTTGAAATCATACAACCATTAAAATTCCGAGACCAAAACCAAACCATTTACTATTATAGTACAGTTCGGTCCACGTGGCACCGATCCGACAGTTTCAAAAAGGCAGTTTCAGTTTGGTTTTTCAGTTTGGCAGTTTTTGCTTACACCCCTAGTTGAGGATAGCTATACTTTCATTATAACTGCATCTATGTTAAAGGCATGACTGCCACTTGTCTGTGCATGGTAACAATTTTTTCCAGTGAAAGAAGCTAGCTTAATTGAGAATAACCCTCTTTTTCTTTCTGAAAAATGCGTCCCTTTTGACATAATTAAATGGATTTGTTAGTGACAGGTCCTTTTAGTCTGTTTTGATAGCTTAATTGAAACTTATTCGACTGGTTCAGAATTTATTTATTTATTATTATTATTTTTTTTCCCTAAAAGGTTCTGCATCCATTAGCTATGAAAACAGACTCTACAGATCTCTGAATTTGGAAATGTTGCAGGTTGAGCGTGGTATTTTTGGCATTCGACGTGTTCTTTGCCGTATTTTGTTTCGTTTTAGCATGTCTGATAGGAATAGCTCTCTGTTGCTGCTTACCTTGTATTATCGCGATTCTTTATGCCATTGCAGGCCAGGTATGATGCGACAATAAAATTAGCTTTGAACTGTATCCATTTGGCTACTTGGATATTTTATCTTAATTTTTATTGAGGCCTTATACAGGAAGGTGCATCAGAGGCGGATTTGAGCATCCTCCCTAAGTATAGATTTCAGATCTCCAAGGATGAGGACAAGCAAGGCATTGGATGTGGCAGAATGGTTCCTATTGAAACAAATAATGGGTCCATGGCAGAAGAGCGAATTCTTCTCCCTGAAGATGCAGTAAGTTCCAAAGTCCTGACCGCAGTACCTTAGTTTTGATTTTCACTCTAACTTAAGTTCTATTCAGGCCTTTTACTGTTAAGTAATAGTCATAATTTTTCATGTACTTTATTGTGCTTTGATTTTTCAGTAGTATTAAGGTGATTTTCTAGTTATTATGAAACACATTGGATTAGTTATAGATTGCCATATGGAGGATGTATTCCAAATCGGAAAAAAGTATAAAGTAGAGATCCTTGTGCCCTTCTCCAACTCCTCATACATACTCTCATCATTTTGTAAGGGTTACCTCTGCCCCTGCTCAACATTCACCAGCATACGTATATTGACTGCTAGTCAATGTTCTGAGAAATGAACTGGATATTGAAACTGCCTTTCATCTGGGCACAGGTTGACCGGTTAGATCAGATTTGTTGGACCATGATCATTTATCTTCAAAATCGAGCTTTTGAAACACAAGGGAATGGAGACACCAACTCCAATTTCGATTCTTTTTAAATTCTACTATTGACACAGCAACAAATTTATTAATAAAGTGTGCAGAAAGCCTCATCATAAGCTAGTTATACAAATATTTACTAGGCTCGAAAAATGATCAGAGAACAAAATAATAAATCTGTAGTTTTCAACTGTGAACCAGAAAAATTCTTCACCTGCCATATTCCAAATTTGTGCATATCACATCCAAAGCTCTTGAACACCTAACAGTCTATATTTTTATAAAAGACATAAAATTACATGAAGATCAAGAGGGGCCTGCAATTCCCTGTAAACAACACAAACCACCCGTGTGTAAAACCTGCCTGAAGCTTTAGAAAAATGCATTGCTGCAGATTATTAATCTATTCTTTTCTTGATTGACCTCAAATATCGAAGGTGAGGATGGCGACTTGATTTAAAGGCATATGTTAAGGAAACACGGTTTCGTGAATTGTATAGGAAGTGGTAAACCATCATGGGGATGTATGCTAGAGGTGTGGTGATTGGGGTGGGGGGGATGGGGAGGTAAAGTCGGTGCAAACATCAGAGAAGAGAGAAACAGTGGCCTTTGGCTGTTGTTCAGTTGGCAACTCCAAGAATATAGTACAAATAGTGATCACTTCTATGTAATAACACTTTTTTGAATATCCAGTGACAGTGGTTACAAACTGCTCACATATGAATTATGAAGGGTAACCTTCTCTGCTTTACAGTAGTTAAAATTGCATTGTGCTTATTCAGACGAACATTTAGCAAATGAAACTAGATGCATCCTGCAGTTGTAATTTTCATGTTACCATCGGAAATTTTGGTCCGACAGTACACCTCTTTTTTCCCTTTTTCCAGGAATGCTGTATATGTCTCTCTGCATATGAGGATGCTGCCGATCTCCATGCTCTTCCTTGCAATCATCACTTTCACTCAACATGTATTGTGAAATGGCTTAAGATGAACGCAACATGTCCTCTCTGCAAATATAACATCCTCAAGGGGAACGACCGAGTTTAAATGAAGAGAAGAAAACCCGCTGGAGGCACGGTGAATCGAGGCTGGAAATGTACGTTGTACTGCATATTTGTGGAAATAAGATGGGTTAACTTATTTGTACATTTTTTCCTGTTATGAGTTGGAAGTTCTCCAGCCTTGTAAATCTTTTTGTTTCATTTGTTTATAGTTGGTTCTTGCTTGTACTTTTTGAAAAGGTTAGCCAGCTAGATGTACAATGGAGAATTTAAGAACCAGGAATTGCATAAGTTCTGCATATTGCTTTGTACCTTTTCTATGCCAAGCCTGACATAGCAGTTGAAATAAGTTTTTACTCGAAACATGTTTTTAACCTCATATTTTTCGCGAAAAAGGAAAATTAAAATAGCTTGAAAACGTGAAATGGAAGACTAACCTATCAACTTTTGTACAAATGAGGTTGAGCATGTTTGGCTGGTTTATATTTTCCTTGTTGGAGCATGGTATAAATAAATTTTTATTTTGAAGATGGACAAAATTGAGCCTTTCTAACATGCCAAATTAAGTAAACGTTGGCGACATACCTTTATTTAGGATAAGTTCGGATTACGCTACTCAACCTTGTACAAAGCGTGATTATTGGTCCTCAATCTTAAAAAATGAAGATTTGAATCTCGAACTTGTTTTGTAAATTTAGGCTCCTACACGATTAAAACTATTAATGTAGATGATGAAATTGCACTAGACTTTTACGTGACTTGAAGTTGGAGGATAAGACCGTCCAACCATTTAATATTAATCTCAAATTTAATTGAAAGTTTGTGTTTGATGGGTTTACATTGACAATTTCAACTATGATGGTTGAAATTCATAGATTTAAATGGGTTGGGATCCAAAACTTCACATTTGAAGGTCGGGTGCCTATATCTACACTACATAAAACACTGTGGAGTGCAATCCTAATTCTTCCCTTCATTATTTTACTCATAGCATTTTTGGTAAATAGTATTAAACCGTGCTAACAAGTATAATATGTAATATTTAATATTAAAATTATATATGATTGAAAATGAGTTTGAAGCTTTTAGAGAATTGGGTTTAAACGGGTGCAAAGTTTGATAGCGATATGGCAATCATTGACCTGCACGGTCCAATGCAATGCCATCGGTTGGCAACTTTCAGCCATACTTAAAGGCCAAGTATGTTCGAAAATTGGCCCAAGTTTGGATGAAAATCAATTCAATAGTAATAATATTTTTATAAAAAAAGTGCAAAAGTTTACTAAACAAAAGAGAAAAAAAAGTCGAATTACATTAGCAATATTTGTACTTTGTTAAGATCGAGAAGCTCTATCTTAGCTTGTTCAACGTGACATGTTGGGCAGCATGGTTGCCGAGCGTGACAGGCTCGTGAATGTTAATTGCTCTTTTTCTTTGACGAACTTATCTTGTTTGATATGCTCGTGAACGTTAATTGTATTTTTCACCCAATAAACGCATTTTTCATTGGAGAATTTGTCTTTTTCTCTTCACACTATTCTCAAGACATACGTCATTACATCACTTTTGTAATAAATACGAGTTTATTCAGCATGATATGTCCATGAATGCTAATTATCCTTTTCACCTAATAAATGTCTTTATTTGTACAATTCTCGAAATAAAAGTGACTTCGCTTTTATAAAAAAAAGGTTAATTAAAGGGTATTCTCCTGTGCTCTTGGTTTTTGACCAAAAAAAAAAAAAAAGAAAGAAATCAAAAGAAAGGGGGAAAAATGAAAGGAAATGGGAAAGAAAAAATGAAAGGAGAGGAGAGAGCAAGAAGAATCACAAGCTACTGCTTTTTTATCTTTGAAAACTTGCAAAACTATTCAAAATTTGCAACCTAAGTAATTCACGCGAAACTGGCAAAATTGCCCAGCTGAAAGGTAGCATGCGTGCCGTGAGACCATTTTTGTCTCAATAGATCAAAAGGTCTTTATATGCGTGCGGGCTCTCTTCCTTTCTTTTATCTAGCTTAGTCCTCCATATAATTGCATGCCAGGCCCTTCAAATTTGGTCATGTACAATCTGATCCTTCAATTTTGATTATCATATCAATTTTGCCCTCCAAAATTGCAACCCATTGTTCTCCAACTTTCTGACTTATGCACTTTGTTGTTAAATGATTTTTCTTCGATGGATAAAGAAATGCAATGCAGATACTTAATTGGATGATTTCTATTTTCTACGTCACCCCTGGTTTGCTTTAACTGATTACTGTTTGCTTACGAATTCTCTTGTTTATTAGTTTTCTTTTTGTTGATTCTGCAATTTGCCTTTTTTACTGCTTTGTGTCTATTTTATCAGCCAATTGTTCCACCAATCTTGTACTCCTTTTCTGATCAAGATAGTAGAGTTCGTTATTATGCCTGTGAAGCTTTGTACAACATAGCAAAGGCGAGGGACTAAACACGAATCTAGTAATTTATGTTTTTCTTCTTTATGCATATCAATTTTGGATTTCGTTCATTCTTGCTAATTTGCAGGTTGTGAGAGGAAATGTTTTAGTGCTCTTCAATCAGAATTTTGAAGCCCTGTATAAGCTTTCCACTGATTCAGATCCCATTGTACAAAGCGCTGCTTCCCTAGACAGGCTTGTAAAGGTTGAGACTTTTCATATTCTGTAGATTCATGTCAATTTTTCTTTTGTATATTTGTTCTTTTTCTGTTTTCAAAGATAAATTTTGATTATTAACCCGGTGCTTTGGCTGTTATCTGAATGCAGGATACTGCCACAGAGGGTGATCTGCTCAGGTACTATATCGATATCCTAATATTGATTTAATATGCAGGAAGGTGAGTTGGAGGTGAATTTGAGCATCCTTCCCAAATACAGGTTTGAGACCTTTAAGGATGAGGGCAAGCTAGGCGTTGAAGCTGGCAGAATGGTTCCAATCCGGTACACAGCAAAGGAGCGAATACTTCAACGTGGAGATTCAGTAAGTTCCCTATGTTTTGACTAGTAATATAGTTTGATTTTGCTGTAGAGTTTTTCAGACTCGGGTAAAGAGCCCAACCAGGAAAATTCCTAGGTTTGATTCCTACTGGATGCACTTGGAAGGTTCTGTTCAATCGCAGCTCGCGAAATTGTTACATATAGCTCGCCCTTATGGGGCACTTCACTCGGTAGGGAAAGAAAAATGATAGATGACTGAAAATCCCGCTTAGAAATCGCAGCTGTAGTCAGAGTAGTAGTTCTCATCCATCATCTCCGTCGTGGCCTCCTTTTACCTGCCAGTACTTTTTTTACCGGAGGTAATTCCTAGTGTTTCTTGGGAAATCGCCTCATTCTGGTTCAGATGAACAGTTAGCAAATGAAAATGGATACATCATCCATTTAAGAATTTTCATGTCGGCATTACAAATTTATTTGTGAATAGTCACACCTTATAGTTTTCCCTTCTTGCGGGAATGCTGCATATAAGGATGCAGTAGCGATCCGGGCTATTCACTGCACTCATCATTTTCATTCGTCGTCTATTGTGAAATGGCTCAAGATGGAGGCACACTGTCCGGTCTGCAAGCGTGACATCCACAAGGGGAAAGACCATGAGTAAACAAAGCGAAGAAAATCACTTCAACTTGTACTTTCGCTTGTCTAATCAAGGCAGGAAATTTTACATCCCATCCCTGTAAAATTTTATGATTCCATTGCTAGGGTAAGAATGGTGATCGAAGTACCCAGGTATTTGTGTATATTGTGGCAACTTTTTGCAATATGCCTTCGGAAGTTTTTGAAAGTCACTGCTTTCTGAATGAAATATGTGAAACGCAGTAGCCAGGAATTCTTGACGTTATTGAGTTGGAACATTCCATTCTTCGAAAATATGCTTAGTCGTAAATAAAGCATTTGAATACAGTACAAGAGGCTAGTTGCTCAATAAACATAAGGGCTTTACGCTAGGTTTCAAATGTGAAACAAATGTAACCAAAGATTAATCCTACCAGTGAATGTGATTCACAAGTTCATTATATAGCATCCTGCCTTGCATTGTCTAATATCCAGAGGCGAAATTAAAGAGAGGAGTGAAAAACATAGGGATTTATTAACAGGTCAATTAGGCAATATTATTCATGTTTTATGGGCACAGACATTAGCTCAATTGTGTATATTGGTTTTGGCGATTCCTGTAAAGAAAGCCATAAAATTACTCTAGAGAAAGCCAAGCCAATAAATAATGACACAAGGAATATTTTATTAGATACACAGCAATTATGTCATATTTTTGGCCAATGTACAAAGTTAAAAAGGATGTTATAGAATGTAGGAGGCAACAGATATCTTCCTCGACAAATTTTAAAACTAGCCACATTTCTATACTCCTCATATAAGTAGTTCTGTGACATAAAAATTCCATTTTCAAGCTTTGAGCTTCTTGATAAGCGACGGAATGAAAAACCGAAGCTTAGTTTTTTTTGCTCAGCTAAGTACCATCCTTTTTATTGATTCCTGATAGGCAACGAACAAACTCCGTGTGCAATGAATGTCCACCCTGTTAAGATATAAGTGCAGTTAACCCTTGGATCAAATACATTATACTCACAAAATAGATTCTCCGTGGTTGGACATTTTATTGACAAATTTGTTTAAGGTAATCAACTAATAGAAGGAAATGCTAGTTAACGACATGGTCAAGTATGCCTTCTTGGAACATAACTGAAATAGACATGAAATCAATCACAACATGATATCCACAGCTAGCACACATAAAGATCACAGTTTTTAGTTCGAAAGGATTGATAAATTTACATAATACAATGTTATGTTGATTTAAGACATTGATTTAAATATGTCTCAACATGATTAGATATGAATTTAAATGAGTTTTGGTTAAAGATTTACATCCGGATAGTTTTATTACATACAACATATCATTTCCAGTCATTTTGACATTTTATCTTTAATTATTAACTTACCATATGTGTAACTGCTTGTACATATAATTTACCCAAATGTACACCTTTAGAAAAAGCAATGCTACAGCTTCTCGTAAGTGATTCTAAGTGAGAAAAAGTAAATCAAATCAAACCTCGTAAGAATGATAATTTTCAGGTCTTAGGTTTGCCCCCTAATGGCCACCAGTTCTAATCCCCTCAGGACCACTGAGGTGAGTACCCAGTAGTAAACTTCAAGGCCCCGTTGGATTAGTCAAGGTGCGCGTAAGTTAACTCGAATACTCACGGTCATAAAAATAAAAAAATAAAAAAAAAGGGAAAGAGAAGGACCTTATAAGTTACAATGTGTGCCACCAGAAGCCCTTGACTGCCATCCTTTGCAAAAAGGGAAAGATCGCCAATAAGATCTAAAACTTTGTGTCTACAAGCCTCATCACCATAACGTAACGGTGGATTCAACCAGCCTCTAGTGGCACTAAATAAGACAACAATATATGCAAGCAGATCAATTGCAAGACCCAGATAAGGAAGAGAGAGAATTGGCCAAAATATCTACTTCATTTCTCATTGGAAAAAAAAATTATATTTTATAAACACCCTTGTGTATATGCTTATAAATGTTGAAAAATGTCTACAATACAGTAGTAGAGATTGGAGAAGAAAGAACAAGGGATCTTGAATATATAACATGTATTAGAGATAATAGAAGGAATTCAGGAGATAACATGCCAGCCAACCTGAAAACTTGAAAAGTTGCTTCTAAGATCAAAATTTGAAGTTTTCGACACCAGCAGTTTTAAGACCACATTTAAAGCAAGCTTTCTTATTCAGCAAATGTAACCCCCATCCCTCCAACCCTTGCCCCAGAGGTAAATTCATTGAATCTAAATTTATGATGCTTGAACTCGGGTATAAATATCAGGTATAGGTATATATTTTAGTATCGGATCTTTTATTTTCTAAAATGTAGGATACGGGGACATAACTAAAAATAATCCAAATTTTGGACACGGGTATGTGCATACGTCTTTCAAACTTCAATTTTTTTTACTAATCCAAAATGTCATTTTAAATAGACCAAAATAAAAAATTATTAAAGAAAAAAATGAGCATTGAATAAGGGTTAAGGCGAAAAAAAAAAAGAGTTTTAGGGTTTACTTTTCAATCATGGGAATTACTAAATGTTATATAGAATAAAAAATGAGAAATTTAATTACAAATTGGACTTAGTGGAGCATTAAGTAACATTATATGGAACCCATTTTCATTTTGTACAAATGAAACCCTAAACCACCATTACAAAGAGAGAAAGAAGGAAAAAAGGAAGAAATGAAAGAAAAAAGACAGAAGAAGAAAAAGAAGGGAAAACTAGCACCGTTGTCCTTCTCCACCCTCTCGGCTGCAACGCTAAGTTTCTAGAGAGCAAAAACGAGAAAGAAGAAAAGGGAAAGTAAAGGAAAAGAGAAAAAAAAAAAGAAAAGAAAGAAGAATAAGCAAAAGCAATGACGTGTCCAGTTAAAATTTGGAGAATCCGACACATATTCCATACCCATATCCATGTCGTGTCTGACATAGGTACTCCGACTATTTCGAAGAGTCTGAGCATCAGAGATCTAAATGCCATAAGGAAAAGTTCATTGCATAGTTTAAGGGTTCATTTATGCTTTTCAGAATGACGAGATTGAAACTTTTAAGAGGTTTTTCATAAACAAGATAGAATCAATTTTTTTCCCTCAAAATAATGACAAAAATGTTGGGAAAAAACAACTTCTAAATGAAAGTTTCATGACTATTCATGGTTTTGCAAAGATAATTGAAATAAATTTGATTTTACTAAAAATTCCATAATTTTAGAACCACTCTTAGTTTCCAGGCCAATATGATGTAACCCGGAAACGTTGTGGATTTGGATAAAATGCGTAAAAAACTTTAACTAGTAGTTCATAGCATCTAAATTTCTCTAGAACATTAATATAAACAAGCATATTAAGCCCCATTTTGACCTCCATTAAGATTATGCCACATTTTGTTTCCCATTATTTGCCCGTTAAAATGAAAAATATGACTGTTATCCATCATATTAAGCCACCATATTTGACTTTCTATCTCTTGTGTAGGCCCGTAACGGCTATATTTTTTATTTTCATTTTTACATTAATGTGTACCAAACGGGACCTATAATTCATTTTTTTCCCTCTTCTTATCAACAAAACATTCTCCAATAAAATAATATTACAGGTAACCCAAAAACATTTTCTTCTATTTTAGCTACACATTCTTCAAAAATTACTATTCCGAAATGCATTTTTTCCAAATGCTCATTATAATAGGGGCCAAACAAGTGCTAACTATTAAGAGCCCATTAAGTTCTTTTCTCAGTATAAATGCATTTCAAGCATGAACACTGTAATGTATATTTTATAGCAAAAGTTTAACTACCCCCAAGAATCATCCACTTCATTCATGATTTAGTTGAATTTCCATTTTTAACTGTAGCATAGGTAAATTAAGGTAACTTATATACACCTGGGGGTTCACAGTTCTGTGTGTCTCTCATCTCGGTGCGAAATGAAAATATTTTTCTGTGCTACACACTCATCATAAGCCAATAAGAGCATGAGCCCCCCGCTCTATTTGTCATGAAAGCCAATAAGATAAATGTAACTCCATCTCAATCTACATTCATAACATAACACTATTAAACAAATCTTTGACACTATTTCTTTTTTCACCCCCAAGTAAAAAATAAATAAATACCTATCTTCTACATTTTAGGCTTTTAGCAATGCAGCGAGTAAATCGACAATGCTAAAACCTTTCACCATAATGACCTAAGACTAAAATAAATGAAAAGTCCAACATAAACAATCCCTCAACAGGCATTTTAAAGTATCAAGCAGAGGATGTAAAGTGTGAATGACAGACACAAGTCTCATTCTTGTTTAACCTCAGAATCACAACAATCTTTTATTAGAGTAAAATAAAATTGGTTATGCTACAATTTAACGACAAAACCAACCATTCTTAAAGATTCAAGACTATTATTGTATGTGTGAAATTTTATTCCCTCCAATTGTTAACATATATATAAGTAGAGAAGTATCTCTCACCTACAGATTATGGCAGTTTCTGTTGAACCCCCTTTAATAAGTCCTGAGTTTCGCATATGTTCCACCTGCAAGGAATTTTTAACTGAGATTCCAGCAGAAGGTATCATAAATACACAAAAGTTGTGCAATCTGTAAAATAGGTTAGTTATGCCTAAGCTCCTACATATTTACATTGAAAATTTATATCTCATCAGTACCCTACAACAAAATGTATTCAGAGAAAAAAACTGTACGTCAAAAGGTTCGTTAGGGGAGCAGACAATAGAATTTCATTGGTTCCATAATAAAAGACAACCCACCATAATTTCACCTAATATATGATACCTTGAAATGAGATTCCCTTATCATATCAATATAATTGGAAAATTATATTTTACAGCAAGCTTAGTCAGATCAGAAAAGTGACCGTACGAAACTAAGTGCAAAGTGTAAATTGGATCGTGTATTCAATTGTAAAAATAACAAACAGAGAGAGATGGCAAACCAAAAATGAGATTCACGACTCACCTCTTCGTAAATGCAAAACGTTCTTGAAGAAGCTATTTGCTTTGAGTAGAAAGATTCATCCAACAGGGTGGAAGAGAACCACTGACGGCCAATAGCTGGTGCCTGCAAGAAATGTTTTCGATAGAACAAGAACAGTACTAGATTGCTGTATGATGCTACATAAAGCTAGCTATATGGGAGAGCACACCTAAATATTGGTGTTGTGTGACAAAAAATAGACCACTCTCAATAGTAAGCCACCAAAAATCTGATGTTTGATATAGGAGGTGTAAGAAAGTGCAAGGAGAGAATGTGCCAAACTGGTGGAATATTTCTGCAGAATTAGTTACTCAATAAAGGCACTTCATGCTCAGCTACAATAGGTGAACTGTACATCACAGAACAATGACGTAATTAATATATTGCTAATGATTCTCTATCTGACTTCACATATCTAATGACTCTCTCTCCTGTTGTAAACAAGTCGGCAGGAAGATAACAACAGCTACGTAATCACATTCTTGAACCAAAATTTACAGATTATTTCTGGTATGAACATATGAACGCAGATTCAGATTGAATTTGATGGTTAAAATTGATATTCAAATATCAAAATTACAAATAAATTTTGGTAAGAACTTATTTTTGCATATGATTGCGATTCATTCAGATAGGTTGATATAGTCTTTCCTAGGTGAAGTATTAGGTCGATAACAAGAGCACTTTATACATCATCTACAACTACGATTATTGTGAAGCAGAATCAATATATGCAAAAAATAAAAAAATAAAAAAATAATAAAAAAATGTAACAGCAACAGAGCATGTATAATTTGCAATTTTAATGTGACATCCATATACAAATATATCAGAAACTTTACCTGTGGGAAATCAATGCCATATGTGATGTTGACTTTTGAATGAGGGAATGCCACAATAAAAGAATCATTTTTTCGCACATGAACGGGTTCGTTTAGAAAAGGTGCCAATTTTTCACAGCTGTTACCACCACAATCTATGGCCACATTTAATCCAACTTGATCAACTGCCTCCACCCATTCTCTTGCTGACCCATCAAAAACAGGAACCTGTGTCAGCATGTCTAATAAAAAGTTAATGACAATACCAGTTCATGCACTTTATTCCATTGCAGGAGCTTTTTTATCAATTCATAAAAATAGATTGATTCTCTATTTAAACAAGTGGAAATTACTAACATACGAGTATTCACAGTTTTTCGAATCCTTGTGAGTGAGTATTGAACTGTTCATTATTAATGTCTTCTACAAAATGTGAAAGCTGTCTAAAATTTGGCTTATTGAGAGCTTGTTTGAGATAGATGTTTTGAAAATCATTTTCAACCATATATTCTATAATAACCTAACCTTCTCTACTTTTAACCATGCATTCTCCAAAAAATTCATTTCTCCTTACAAAAAATCTCTCTTAACCAAGCTCTTATTTAAATTTACAATTTCCATACTGCATTAGTGCATTACTGTTATGTTTGATGAATCTCAGCTCAATAAGGACATCTTTTAGAAAATATATCTTGCTTTTCTTCTGTTGGGGATGAGAAGTTCTCCATCATTCAACTAATTCATGAATGAGCTAGATTGTTTCACAGCATACTGAAACCCAAATGTCTTTTACACCCAAAGTGCAACTGCACTTGTACAAAAACTTATATTTCAGTATGCAACTGAAGAAGCAAATTATAGTAAATACCAGATGATACACTCCTATTCTAGTACTGTCAAATTCATGTTTGGGGGCTTTTATTTGATAGCAACAAATAAAACGCATAACAAAAGTGAATCAATAAAGAAAGAAAGAATCAAATCCTCAAAAATTGAAGACTCAACCCTAAATGCTACATATTCTCCCTCTCCAGGTACTTGAGGAATTGCGAAAATCTATCGAGCAAACCTAACACGGTGCCCCTACCAGATTACCACCACCGGCCAACTCCATACTAAAGCTATTCATTGGCTCAATCTTACAGTATTTGGAAAGCTAAACCTATAAGATTGGATCCACTTTTACAGCATAACAGCACCACCCATAAATTTCTCGGCCAGAATTAGATATTTCCTGTCTACATGTTCCATAATTATAGAAGCCATAGTGATTACTGCTCGCAATCTCTTGCGTAAATTGAGAATTGAACTCCAAATTTATTATCCTTTCAGTTTCATAAGTTCATAAAATATAACAACTACATTATTAAATCCAAACAAATTACCTCCACCGATCGATCACAGGGGTCACAGCTTTCAATTTCAATGCGACAATTATCAACGCCAGTGGCCTCCAGAGCCGAGAGCAAATGCTCGACTGTTCGAATTGTATACCCATCTTTAGACAGCGTAGTACATAGAGGAGTCTCTTTCACAGCGTGATCAATCGATGCGCGAACAATATTCGACCTGAAAACGAAATACCGGCCGGTACGGGCAGACTCTGGAACTATTTTGACGGTTGAGAGCTTGCCCGAGTGAAGTGCTGGTCCAGTTCTCTCTATACAGTTGGCTACTGTTTGCTGCAACTTACCTGTCTGCAATAACAGATACAGATTCACGTGTAGATTTGTTAAGAAGTGAACACTCGTGGAGAAAGAAAGGAGTGGAAAGAGAGTACAGATTTCCAGGAGATGAGGGAGGAGAACTTGAGTGAACTGAAAGCGCCTCCGCCGACTGTCATTTTCGGAGTCCCTTGGAGGAAGTCGAACCGCTAAAGAAGAATACCTACGCACTTTTCAGCAGAGGAAACATTAGCAAACTTTTCTTGAACCTTTAATTTGTTTGTTGCAATCGTCGTTCAAGCATTTTGAAACGTTGCGACGGATATCTTTTTTTACGGTTTTGATCCAAACGTCTGTTAGTTGACTAAAGAATTTGATTTTGATCATATTTTTAATATTTTTGAAAGGGTGAAATAGTAACTTTTCATTTATTACATTAAAATAAATTAAAAATTAAATTAAACAAAAAGAAATTAGAAAATAAAAACCAATCGTCTTCTTCCTCCCATCCCCAACCCAAAATCAATTCCCGACCACCGCCTCCTCCATCTCCACCTTCATTCCCAGCCATAAAGACCCAAATCATAATGTAACCCATAGAAATAAGCTTGGAAGGGAAGAATGAGGATTGTGGAGAGATTGCGATTTTATGGGTGGTTGCCTCTCTCCAAAACTGAAGATTTTTCCCCATTACTAGCAATAAAAACGAACATCCCTTGGAAAATTGCACGGGAAGCAGCATATATGATTGTGAAACATTACGTTGATTTCACCATACATCCTTAATATTGGAGGTGACCCACAGAAAATCCATTTTTTTAACCATAGATCTGTGTGTTGCATAATGGTTTCTTTATCTTTATATTTCTATGAGTTATATTTTGGTTTGAATTTTTCTGGTTGGGGATGGATATGGAGGTGGAGGTGGAGGCGGAGGCGGAGGTGGGGGGTGGTTAGGAACTGATTTTGGGTTGGGTTGGATTGGGTTGGGTTGGGGTGGCATGGGAGGAAGTGGACGATTGGTTTTTATTTTCTAATTTCTTATTTTTTTAAAATCTAATTTTTAACTTATTTTAATGTAATAGATGAAAAGTTACTATTTTAACCTTTCAAAAATATTAAAAGTATGGTCAAAATCAAATTTTTTAGTCAACTAACAGACATTTGGATGAAAATCGTAAAAAAAAGTCTTCCGTCGCAATGTTTTGAAAGGTTTGGGGTGACAGTTGCAACAAATTAAAGGTTTGGAGAAAGTCTGCTAATATTTTAAAGGTTTGGAGCCTCTACTGCAATTTTCCCATTTTTTAATTATATTTTAACCACGTGTTCTCAAATAAATCACTATTTAAAAAAAAAAAATATTTTTTTCCAAAATGGGTTAAACAAAGGTATGGTTGAGTTCGAACAGTAAGAATGCTATAGAAATTTTCTAAAATGCATGGTATATTTGGTACAATGATTTAGATTCTCGACTCATTATGAAAAATTTAAATTGCAATCCTACTATACATACAGAGAGAATTGCCAAGCGAACAAGGGATAGGCGACACATATTTATTGAACCTTGAATATATAAAAAAATATATACATATCTTAACAATGCACAAGCGACACCTGTCTCCCTAGCAATCTCCCTTGTACAAGGGACTTGACTTCTTAAATTTTGCTATGTTTTAATTGGAGTTTTGTATTATAGTAGGACTAAGAGGTGTGGGTAGCATCAATTTTCCTAAATATGCTCCACGCAAAAAATGGTTTATGGACACATTTTATTTATTTATTATTATTATTTTGGTCTTAAAAAAGTTTCAAAGTTTAGCTTAAACGAGTTTCAAAATTTTAGATCGAAATTGATGACGATCTTGTTGTGTCTATGACAGTGATGGCGATAGTAAAGTGGTGGAATGATTCAAGCGAGTAATGTAACATGTTACTTATTGTGACGATGGTGTAGAATGATTTTAAATTAGCAATGTGATGCTTTATTCGTATTCTATAATGGCGATGGTGGTGATGACATATTGCGGGATGTAGAGTGATTTCATATGGATAATAAGTAAGTTGTTTGATCCCATTTATTTAATATGTATAACTATCCAAATTAGATATAAATGAGTAATACGTGTAAGTGGTACTTGTAAATTTCACAAAATGTGTAAATAAAAAGTGATTCTATGTACACTTTAATTTGAAACATATTCAAAAAAATAATGCTACTAAGCCATAGAGTAGGTGACATAATAGGTGTTGACAAGATATGATTGGTTGAAAAAGTTAATAGTATTTTAAACAGTCCAATAACGTATTGCCACGTAACATTATGTTAATGATTATGTTAACCATTATGTTTATGTAACACGATAACGTACTAGCATGAAAAATGGATATTCTAAATCAAGAGACTCAATGACACAATAATGCAATAAACAAACACAATAATGCAAAAAATTAAAAAAATAAAAATAAAAATTTGACCAAGAAGAAGAAGAAGAAGAAAAGAAAAATTAAAGTACACGGGGATGATTACACTCTTGAATCATTTATCAAAACATATTAACAAGACATTACCAGCCAGTCATTTTAATAGGATTGAACGGAAAAATGTCATTAGCAAATTTGCTATTTCCGTTGAATGTTTGGCAAAGCTCAAATTATAATTTAATTTGGCTAAAAATTCATAGCTTACTATTCACATATTATTGACATATTCCATATGAGTCATAATTTATAAGCACCATCAAACAAGCATAAAAATTAAAATTATAGCTATGTAGAAAAATAAAGGAAAAATTGTAGCAGCGGTTCCTAAACTTTTAATTTTTGGTAGTCTTTATCCCAATATTTATTTTGTGTCAATGGAGGTTTCTAAACTTTCATAAATATGCACCTAGGGTACATATGGAAGGAAACCGTCCAAAAAAACTATCAGTTGACCAAGAAAATTAAAGAATCAATATCTAATAAAACCATCCAAAAAGGTATCAATATCCAATAAAATTATCGCGATAGCAGATAGTTCAAGGAATATTTTCGATCAACTGACGGTGTTTTGGATGGTTTCTATCTAGATAGACCTTAGGTGCATATTTATTTAATGTTAGGGATCCTCGTTGGCACAAAATGAAGGTTAGAGTAAAGTCTACAAAAAATAAAAAGGTTAGGGACCGCTATTTCAATTTTTCCAAAAATAAATGGGACACAATGAAAAAGGATTAGCGATTTTCAACAAATTTAGCCTCTATTTGGCCCTCATTCTTGTCAAATTTTAATGATTGGAATAGTTTTTTTTAAATGTGTGGTTGAAAAAGAATGAAAAGTTTTTGATTTGTGTATAATATTATATTATGGAAGATTGTGTGATTGAAAGTAAGAGAGAAAGAAATAATGAGAATAAGAATGAGGGCCAAACGGGGACCTAGCTGAAAAGTTATAGGAAGGGATCTAATAAGACAAATATTTCATGCAAGTATCGAATTGATTGTAGGAAATTGAAGGGTCGTTTTAATTGTTAACCATTTCAATAAATAAATGGTGTTATAAAGGTAATTCATACTAAAAATTAAAGTTTTAGTAAATTTTGATAAAAGTTTGTGAAATATGTAATTGAAAATTCGATAAAAATTATAACTCCCATGCAAAGTATAATAAAAGAAGGAATTAAAAAAAAAAAAGAAATTTAAGAAATAAGGGCAAAACAGGATTTTGATAATATCACTGTAGGACAAACTTGAAGCATCAAGATTTCAAATGAGTAGTTTGCCTCGTCATTGACAACATTAAACCTTGTTTCTCACTTTGTCTAATATTATTTCAAAACTTTATATTTTCCAATTTATTTTTAACCATACGTTCTCTTAATAAAATATTTTACATATAAACTCTAAAATATTTCATGCTTTCTAACTAAATATTATTCAAAAAATCTATTGTTTTAAAACTCATTTTTCTACTTTAATGATAATTAATACGGACTAAATTGTCAAAGAGAGGAATTGGACAGAATGACGCATGTGGAAAGCATACATTATATAATGACATTGGAGAAACATTTTAAAGTTTGGCGACCAATAATCCTCAATTTCTTAAGGATTTTTCTAGTTGTACATCGGTTACCAATCTCTTAACAAGAGGAGGGAAATTGACACCCCAGTATACCGATCCCCTCACAAGAGAGGGGTTGCGGTGTCAAATTCGGTGTACATGTGGAAAAACCCAAGCACGGTCGCACCGGCCTGCCACCACGGCCTCACGGTCGAACGGTCGTGGGCTATAAACGCCCAAACCGTTCGGTCTGGGGTTTCTTCATTTCTTCTCCCAATAACCACACGCCTCCAATTCATAAATTTGGTACTTCAAACACACCAAATCCGTCAAAAAGATGAGAAATTTGGCAGCAACATCTCTGTTCCCTATTCTCAAATTTTGTGTTTTACAATTTCAATCACATCGTTTCTGATTTTTTCCATTTTTAATTAGATTTGCTCTGGACTTCTTCGGTCCAAAGAATTAATATATACAATACCTTAATTTTTTTTGACACAATAATAGAACCCTCAATTTACAAGTGTGATCTAAAAGTAAAATTGTAATAGAGTTAGAAAATAGAGTGTTTCTTTGGTGGGTTTGCTATGGCTGATGCGTTGTCTGTGATTCCAATGGCGGTTCTCCGTAACCTCTCCGATAAGCTCTATGAAAAGCGCAAAAATGCGGCTCTTGAGGTCTTTATTAGACATATATGTATTTGTTTGTAAAGTTATTTTATTTTATTTTATTTTTTTTGGTTTTATGGTTTCGTGGAGTAATTTTCTGAATTTTGTGAAATTATTCCTTTTTATTTTTTTTGGGGTTGGTGGGTTCCAGGTGGAAGGGATAGTGAAGCAATTAGCGATGGCAGGGGATCATGATAAAATTACCGCGGTGATCAATTTGTTGACCACCGAGTTTACCCACTCGGCTCAGGCTAATCATCGCAAAGTAAGTTCTTTTTTTGTTCGGTTTTCTTAATTGACATTGAAAATGAGACTTTATTCATTAAACGCTTTAGTTGAAGTGCTGAATTTTAATTTGGTTTTGTTCTATGTATATACTATTTTGCACTTTAGGGAGGGTTGATAGGATTGGCTGCCGCAACGGTAGGTTTGACTTCGGAAGCAGCACAGCATCTTGAGGTAACATTACTAAAATGTCTGAAGTAATGAACAAAGTTTTTGAACTTTTTCTCCAGTTCCATCTTATTCTTTTCTCTACTATAAATGCTTTAAGCTCATTATAAAATTTAGTCAAGAAAAGAAGAATGGCCCAATGGAATATGTAATGACTGTGGACCGTAGTTCAGCTGAGTTTGGTTCCACCAAATTAGTATGAGTGCATAGGTCAACTAACATAAAGAAGAAAGAGTTCACTCAGTGATAGCCTTTGGGTTCTGAACTCCATGATGGGAAGGAGTACCATTGTGGATTTATAGTGATCTATAAATTTTCCCTAAAATGATCTGTTCGTTTCATGTTTGAGTATTACGAATCACTTTGTGCCGACTTGTTGCCATCAATTTTGTGGCCTGATACACGAATGACTAGAGTGTATTTCTGTACTGGTGGAGATCACAAACATAATTTATCACCGTGAACTTAATTTTGATTTTGCACTTGATTCCATCTTGCATCTAATTTGTGTAGCCACTTGTATGTTTTTTTTTTTTTTTGGTGTGTTGTTTGGATTATTAATTATGTTGCCTCTGATTGGGACAAGTTGAATAGACTATTTCCTATTCATAAATATTGTAATTGGTTTTTGATAAAGTAATATATGGAGTTTATATGAATAATGAATCTCTTCTGAACGTAATTTTAAGCACATGCGGGGCTTTTAAGACTTTGAAGTGGCAAAAACAATTGTGATCACGTTTGGGTGGGTTTATGAAAATGATAAGCTTCTAAGTAAAAATAAATAAATTTATGGAGTTGATTTCATGTTTGGATAAACTGTGCTAACAAGTATATTAAGCACATTTATGTTTAGGATCTAGTATATTTATGATAGTGAACTTGATTCTGATTTTGCACTTGATTCCATCTTGCATCTAATTTGTGTAGCCACTGATATGTATTTATTTATTGGTGAGTTGTTTGGATTATTAAATATGTTTCCTCTTATTGGGACAAGTTGACTAGACTATTAGCTATTCATGAATTTTATAACTGGTTCTTAATAAGGTAGTAAATGAAGTTTATACGAATTCTGAACATATTTTTAAGCACAGGCAGGGGCTTTAAAGACTTTTAATTGAAAAAAATAAAATAAAATTGAGATCATATTTGGGTGGGTTTAGAAAAAATGATAAGCTGCTTCTGTGTAAAAAGGGTGAAGTTATGGAATTGATTTCATGTTTGGATAAGTTGTACTCGTAAGTATATTAAGCCCATTTATGTTTATGAATCTAGTTACTTTTAAGCTAACTCAATATGACTATTAACCCAAATGCCCTTTATGTTTGGAAATTTAATTACTTTTAAGGGTAAAATGGTCTTTTCCTTGGTCAAAGAAAAATTAAGCACTTGCGGAAAGGTGATGGGTGACAAAGCATCGGCCAATTGTGGATTCAAAGCATGGGTTCTTGTTTGAACACGACTTGTATTGTTACGTGTCTGCAGGTTTGTATATTACTGATGCATGCAACTTTACTCTAATTAAAAAAAGGGGAAAAAAAAAATGAAAAGAAGAAAAGAAAGAGAAAAGCTGCAGGCTCTGGGACCAAATCAGACCAATAGACAACAAACATAAATGTAGGTAAAAGGAGAAGATAATAAACAGAAAAATGAAAAAAAGAGAAAAGGTAAGTGCCTGTCGTTGCTGCTGTTGCTTCATTGTCATTGCTTCTATGGTGAAGTTGTTGTTTGCTGCTGCCATCACCTAGTCTCTGGAGATAATTCTGCTATTTAGATATTTTTATTTTTATTTTTATTATTTATTTTTATTTTTTAAATTTTCTGTGGCTTTGGGTTGTTTTTTCCCATTTTTTATTCTTTTACAAATGGATGGTTTTGTTTAATTATGTTTAGCAAGTGTTTCCGTTTCTTTCAGAATTGATATATTGTATTTAAAACTCTGCCATGCCTTTCACATTGGAATAATGAATTTTAAGTTTATTGGAGCCCATCTCACAAAGATCAGCAACTCACTTATTAAATGAGGAGTGCACGCCAGTGATTCAATGGTAGTAGATTACCATATTTTAACTCCGTAGAGTTTAAATGATATAATAACACGTTTCAAGCCGAGTGATAATTTGAATTTTTTAAAACATTGGTTTCTTGATTAGGTCAAGTTTGAGAATCATTTCTATCTTCATAGTTCATGATATGCCATTCTACCGTTTTTAACTTATGACCAGAAAGATGGACATAAATGCTTGACAACTCTACAGAAAATTTGAAAAGTAGAGGATAAAGAGCAAATTTGAAAACAATATTAGAGAGATACAAATCATGACCTTCGCCTTTCAGATTGGGCAAAAAACGCAACATTTTATGGTTTGTGATTGTGATTGTGCCTATGTGGGAGTGGGAGAGCTATTAGATGCTATAATTGAGTGTAGAAAAAATTGATTCCGAATATTGGGATTTATCATATAAGTTTGAAGGACTACAGACAGGGACGTTGCCAGAAGTTCGGTATCGTGGGGTCAAAAATTGAAATGAATTTTTTTTTTTAAACAACATATCATTAATAAAGATAAGTCTATACACTATTTAAGCTTGTTCTCTCGAAAAAGATGGCACTGCTTAGCCAATCCTCCAACAACATTCACCACTTTATTCACTAGAGTAAAGAATGTTTCAATATCTGCATGTTTGTTTGCCATAGCTACAAGAGTTAGTTGCAACTGATGAGCAAAACAATGAAGATAAAATGAGCTAAAGATTTATTACAGAATAATTTACCTATACAATTAGCGGATTTATAGGAATTTAATTAGCTAGTTTCCTTAATTAGATAAATTAGATTTGTATATATACGTGTAATCTCTTTTGGAATGAAAATAAGAGAGAATATTGTTCTAATTTCTCTGTTATCTTACATGGTATCAGAGCCGGAAATTTGGTTCTGGTGATTAGCTCGGGCAGGTGTGTGAACCGGTTGCGATCCCCTTCATCTCTTGGACAGTGACGCAGCTGTTTCTTCCCTGCAATCCCTTGTATCTCTTAGACAGTGACGCGGCCATCTCTTTTTGGCGTCTTTGTGTGAGGAATCGATGCACTCCAACGTTCTGTGTGTGAGATCGACGTGTGTCTCACTCTTGTTTCCCGGCAACGGCTCGTTTCTCTATTGGTGGTTGCCGTTTGAAGTAGTTTCCCACAGTTTTGGTTGACGTCGCCAGATTTGAAGGAGGTTGCCGGCATCGCTGTGAGCTAAAGGTACGGCAATTCTGCCCCCTTTTTTCGTGTTAAATTGGTTCTCAGTGGCTATCTTCGATTCAGTCAGTGATTTGTTGGGCTGAGGATCTTCCGTTCAGTTAGTAACTTCTTGGGCTGAGGGTTGTTTGAATTGTTTAATTGGGCTGGGGCGTGTGTTTGGGCCTAATTTGTTGGGTTGTTCTAATTTATTGTTGGATTATTTCACTTAGGCCGTGAAAATTGCTTTTGGGCCTAATTTATTAGGTTGTTCTGATTATTTCATTTGAGCCGTGAGAATTGCTTTCGACCTGGATTATTTGTATTATTGTCTATCGTTTTATTGAAAAATGGCCGAGTCCAAGAGATTTGTGAGTGAGATGGTTCCAGTAATTTCCAAAATCACTGAACAAAAATTGAATGGAACTAATTATCTGGAGTGGAGTAAGACAGGGTCTATTTACGAAGCATAGACAAAGATGATCACTTAACTAAAGATCTGCCTAAAGATGATACCAAACAAAGTTGGCTGAGAGAAGATGTATAGCTCTTTTTGCAAATCAGAAATTTTATCGACAGTGAGGTAATTGGTTTAATTACTCACTGTGAATTTGTAAAAGAACTAATGGATTATCTGGAGTTTTTGTATTCTGGTAAAGGAAATGTGTCGAGAATGTATGAAGTTTGCAAGGCTTTTTATCGGGCTGAAAAGGAAGCCAAGTCTCTCACAGCTTACTTCATGGACTTCAAAAGGACGTATGAAGAACTTAATGTGCTATTGCCATTCAACACTGTTGTCAAAGTACAACAGATTCGGAGGGAACAAATGGCTGTTATGAGCTTTCTGGTTGGTCTTCCTTTCAAACTCGAGACTTCCAAATCTCAAATTCTCTCTAGTTCTGAAATCCCCTCTCTTCAAGAAGTATTCAGTAGAGTTTTGCACACTGAAAATGCCTTACATTTTCAAATTGATGTTCTTGTTAACAAAGGAGGGGGAATGGTTATGGAAGGAGAGTCAAGAAGGGAATCAAGGCTATTGATAACCGTAATAATTCAGGTAGCGTTGTGTGCTACTATTGCTATAAGCCAGGCCACACCAAGCGATACTGTAGGAAATGGCAGATTCGTAATCAGAAAACTCAGACTGCTAATGTTGTTGCTATTCCTAGTTCATTCTCTGAGAAAATAGTTATGATATCAGCTGATGAGTTTGCTAAATTTTCTCAATATCAAGAATCACTGAAGGAATCTACTTCAGTTACTGCCCTTGCTGAGTCAGGTAAAACATGTTTTATCTCCTCTTCAAACAACTGGGTGATTGATTCAGGTGCCACAGATCACATGACAGGTAATCCTAATACTTTCTCTAGCTTTCGATCACACAAAGCTTCATCTCCTGTCACCATAGCTGATGGGTCAACCTATGACATTGTAGGATCGGGAATTGTTAAACCAACCCTCTCTATTACCCTATCATCTATTCTAAGTCTCCCAAAACTTGCTTGTAATTTGATTTCTGTCAGTAGACTTACCAAAGATTTTAACTGTTGTATCTCATTCTTTCCTGATCATTGTATTTTCTAGGATCTTATGACGAAGCAGATTATTGGTAAATGACATGTATTTGGTGGTCTTTATATTCTTGATACGTGGGTGCTTCGATCTGTTGCTTCCTCTAGTGTCATCTATCTAGTTGAAGCACATTGTCGGTTGGGACATCCATCTCTACCTGTGTTGACGAAGCTATGTCCTTAGTTCCATGATGTATCTTCACTGGATTGTGAGTCATGTCATTTTGCAAAACATCACTGTAGCTGGCTAGGTTCAAGAATTAATAAACGAGCTGAGTCTGCTTTTGAGTTGGTTTATTCTGATGTTTGGATACCATGTCCCGTTGTGTCTAAAATTGGATTCAGATACTTTTTTTTTTTTTTGTGGATGATTTTTCTTGAATGACATGGATTTATTTTATGAAAAATTGATCTGAAGTGTTTTATCATTTTTATGCCTTTTATGCTGAAATTAAAACGCAATTTAATACCTTTATACATACACTACGAAGTGATAACATCAAAGTATACATGTCAGACTCATTTCGAGCTTACATGACTCAACATGGGATTCTTCACCAATCCTCCTGTATTGATACTCCTTGCCAAAACGGAGTTGCTGAGAGGAAGAATAGACATCTACTTGAGACGGCTCGAGCTTTTTTGTTTCAAACAAAGGTTCCTAAGCAGTTCTGGGCTGATGCCATCTCTACAGCTTGTTTTCTGATTAGTCGCATGCCATCCACAATACTTAATAGTGATATTCCATATAGTGTTCTATTTCCAAACAAGTCACCGTTCCCAGTGGAACCACGAATATTTGGAAGCACCTGTTTAAGGCTATCTGTTACTAAATTGGATCCAAAAGCCTTGAAATGTGTATTTCTGGGATATTCTCGCCTTCAGAAAGGATATCGATGCTAGTCTCCTGATATCCATAAATACCTAGTTTCTATTGATGTCTTTTCAGATATTACACCATTTTTCTCCTCTCCGTCCATGTCTACAAGTCAGAGGGACGAGGATAACTGGCTAATCTACCAAATCACACATCCAGGTGCTCCTACTGATCAATCAGATGATGGTGCTCCCATTGAGAGATCTTCGGCTCCAACAAAGCCATCTATTATTCACTGTTACTCCAGAAGACAGGAGAGCAATGATACATGTCCTGCACCAGCCACTTAGTCATCCGATCCTCCAAAAGACCTTGACTTTCCCATTAGCCTTCGCAAAGGTAAACGTCAACACACCCTTCTTAAATCTCTTTATCCTATAGCCAACTTTATTTCATATGATCATCTGTCTCCAGCATCTAGGTCTTTAATTACCTCTTTAGACTCAGTCTCTGTGCCGAAGATAGTAAAAGAAGCATTGGGTCATCCTAAATGGAAAAATGCGATGCTTGAGGAGATACATGCTTTAGATGAAAATCACACATGAGAATTGGTAGATTTACCTAAAGGCAAGAAAGCTGTGGGGTGCAAATGGGTCTTCGCTGTCAAAGTCAATCCTGATGGTTCTGTGGCAAGACTTAAAGCTCGACTTGTTGCAAAAGGATATGCTCAGACCTATGGAGTGGATTATTTAGATGCCTTCTCCCTAGTCGCCAAACTCACCTCTGTTCGCCTATTTATATTTATCACTGCTTCTCAAGATTGACCATTATACCAGTTGGACATCAAGAATGCGTTCCTTCATGGTGATCTCTAGGAAGAGGAATATATGGAGCAAACACCTGGGTTTGTCGCTTAGGGGGAGTATGAGAAAGTTTGTCACCTGAAGAAATCTTTGTATGGTCTAAAGTAGAGTCCCTGTGCTTGGTTTGACAAGTTTAGTGAGGTAGGTCAGGAGTTTGGACTGAAGAAGAGCAAGTGTACTCAGTCTTCTACAGACAGTCAACAGCTGGTGTTATTCTTCTTGTTGTTTACGTTGATGACATTGTCATTACAGGAGATGATTGTGCAGGTATCTCTTCTCTCAAGCTATTTCTACATACCAAGTTTCTCACAAAAGACTTGGGCCAGCTAAAATACTTTCTGGGAGTGGAAGTGACAAGAAGCAAAAAGGGAATCTTCTTGTCTCAAAGAAAGTATGTACTTGATTTGACAAAAATCGGAAAGATGGGAGCCACTGCATGACACCAATGATTCCCAATGTACATCGTACAAAAGATGAGGGTGACTTCTTTGATGATCCAGAAAAGTACAGGAGATTAGTTGGGAAATTAAATTATCTCATAGTAACTCGTCCAGATATTGCTCATACAGTGTGTAGTCAGCTAATTTATGTCTACACCTACAGTAAAACATTGGGCAGCCTTAGAACAAATATTGTACTACTTGAAAAGAGCTCCTGGTCTTGGCATAGTGTATAACAATCACGGACACGCTTGCATTGAGTGTTTTGCAGATGCTGATTGGGCTAGATCCAAAATTGATAGACGGTCCACTACGGGATATTGTGTCTTTGTTGGTGGAAACCTTGTGTCTTGGAGGAGCAAGAAACAGAATGTTGTATCTCGTTCCAGTGCAGAATGAGAATATAGAGCCATGACACAGGCCATACATGCGAAATTTTGTGGATACGACATCTTTTAACCGAGGTTGGATTGAAACTGTCAGTACCAGCGAAACTCTGGTGTGACAACCAAGCTGCCCTTCATATCACCTCAAATCCAGTATATCATGAAAGAACTAAACACATTGAGGTCGATTGTCACTTCATTCGTGAGAAAATTCAAGAAAATTTAATCTCTACTAGTTATGTGACGACTGAAGAACAACTTGGAGACATCTTCACAAAAGCATTGAATGGGAACCGGATTGAGTATCTTTGTAACAAGCTGGGCATGATTAATATCTACGCTCCAACTTGAGGGGAAGTGTTACAGAATAATATTAGCTGTATAATTAACACATTTATAGGAACCTAATTAGCTAATTAACTTAATTAGATAGACTACATTTGTATATATACGTGTGTGTGTGTGTATATCTCAATACCGCAGGACTTCCCCGCCTAATTGGGTGGCGGGCACTAGAAAAATGGTTCTCGTCTTACTATCCACTTCGTTTAAAGTCCATTTCAAGAATATATTTTATATAACACAAAGAGAAAAGAACTATCATCATTTGTAAAGGAAGCAGGAGTTGTTCTACAAATTAAAAAAAAAATGTAAAGATCTTTACAAATTAAAAGGCATTAAAAAATTAAAATAAAAAAGGGCAGTAAATGGAGCAGTGGTCCTCCCCTCCACGACTCCTTCCAACAGCCTTGACCGGATATGGATACGAGGTAAAGAGATAAAATACACGATGGGATGGAGGACGAAAATGGGTACTTGACCCCGTCCCGTTCCCATTCCTAAATACTCTTTACACTAGAGAGTGTGTTATATTGGTCAATGGCTATGGATGAAGAAACAACACTAGTTGTTAAAAACTCTTCACCAACTCTCAATTTGAATCACAAAAGAGACGTTCATTTTCTCTGCTGGTCTTTCCTTTTATTTTTCTTGGCTTATGGTGCTGTCCGAAACTTATATACCATCAATTATATAAGTTTTCATATTTTCGAGGTTTCAAATTTTTTTCATAATATTTTAATTTTATGAAAAATAAAATGAATAAAAAAAAAAAAAAAAAAAAAAAAAAAAAGAAAAGAGAAGAGAGAGAGAGAGAGAAAAAGAAGAAGAAGAATAAATTTTTTGGGGTCAAGTGACCCCACATGACCCCCATGTGGGTCCGTCCATGACTACAGAGTTAATTTGTTTTTGGGTCCAGTTTATGGAAGAGGAATGTCTCCACTGAAACACTTGTAGCTGTATGTATTATATGCTATTAGTTCATGACAGCGTGTGTTACAAGGGATGTGTTCCACATGAGAGCAGAGAACTATATTTTCCAAAGCAATATCTATGTAAGCTTTCTGGACTTGGAATAGCATTTTAAACTGCAATTGTTTTTGTTGCTGAAATTAAAATTTGTTTTTAATGTAGTTCATCAGGGTTTCTTGACAACCTCAAGCTCCAAAAATTATTAGGGGTCATTGCTGTTGGATGGGTTATTGGGAATCAAGCATCCAATAGATACCTTAGCGTATTTCTGAGGAACATTATCACTTGCGGTCCAAAGTCCCTCGGAGAATATTTGGCTTTTTTATTTCAATGTCAGTACGTTTATTAGTTTATTGAGGAGCCTCACTCACTTTCCCCTCTTTAGTTCAAATAGATCTCGGTCGGTGCATGCCCAGAAATGTTGCATGAAGGGACCAGTTGACCTTGTATTTTGATGCTTGTATGTTTATTTGTTTATCAAGCAGTCTCTTTCCCTCTCTCTTTGCTTCAAATAGATCGCAGTCTGTTCATGTCCAGAGATGCTGCATTGTTGCACTGGTGGCCCTTTAGATATCTTTATTGGCAAATGAATTCAAGCTTAAGATAGAATAATTTCCATTTGAAGCATTCAGGTTTTGTGGTTAGAAGGGTTACAGCAATATTATGCAGCTGTTTTAATGGAAAAGTGTTTCTCAATGAGAAAGAGGAAAACAGAAAGCCAATACTAAAGTTTGTTAGTTATAATAATAGAAAAAGGTCTTCATGAGTTTATCACCTGTTTCCCTTGTAGAAAAAGTTATAGCACATGATGCTGCTGCGTGCTGGAACAATTCAACCTCTTAATTGGACCGTTTTCTATTGGATGAGAGAATTTCTCCATCATGCTGTTCGATGCATGTTAAATACTTTTTTACTTGGTGGATGAAGAATGCTATGAAATGATTTCTATTTCTTTGTCATCCTTAATGTGTCTTCTGATTTTAATTTGCTTGCTTATTCTCTTGTTTATCCATTTGCTTTGTTTTGCTTCTGAAAGTCCCTCTCTTTTATTAATGCATTTCACTGCTCCTGCTGACCTGATCCCTCAGCAAATTGTACCATCAGTCTTGTATTCCTTTTCTGATCAAGATAGCAGAGTTCGTTATTATGCATGTGAAGCTCTGTATAACATAGCAAAGGTGAGAAATTGAACAGGAGTCTTGCCATTTGTGTTTTTGTCCTCTGTGTTTGGATTTCATCCTTTCTAATTTGCAGGTTGTGAGAGGAGATATTATTGTGTTCTTCAATGAGATTTTTGAAGTTCTATGTAAGCTTTCCACTGATTCAGATCCCAATGTACAAAGTGCTGCTCATCTTTTAGATAGACTTGTAAAGGTAGATGATTTTCGTTTTCTTTCTAGTCATGCCGGTTTCATTCTTGTATATTGTTTGTTTTGTTTTGAAAGATAATTCTGATTGTTAACCTGGTGCTTTGAGTTGTTTGAATGCAGGATATTGTTACAGAAAGTGATCAATTCAGGTATGCTGTCTCTTTGTTCTGGCTGTGTTTTTTGGAACTAAGTTGTTGATTTTTTTGAAGCATTTAGCAAATTATCGGTGTAAACTGTTGCCGTTTGATCCTGACACAGTATTGAAGAATTTATACCACTGTTGAGAGAACGAATGAATGTCCTAAACCCTTATGTGCGCCAATTTCTGGTAGGATGGATTACTGTTCTAGACAGCGTTCCCGATATAGATATGCTTGGTTTTCTTCCTGATTTTCTTGATGGTAAGTTGTCTTTATTGTTGCTTTAGCCTGATCTTCTTGATGGTAAGTTGTCCTTATTTGAGGTTTGTTAGGCTTTAACCGTGTTTTCTCTGATGCATGTTCTTACATGATTGGTGAAATCGCAGGCTTATTTAACATGCTAAGTGATTCCAGCCATGAAATAAGGCAACAAGCTGATTCAGCACTTTCAGAATTTCTTCAAGAAATAAAGAATTCTCCAGTAAGATTCATGCTAGCATGGAATGAATATAAACATTTTATTGTTGTATGTATATAACTGTTGCATTGTAGGTTTCTTTTCTTATTTCCATGATGATGTGTTTCTGACGCGTAGTAATATTAGTATTATTATTTATTTATTTATTTTTAAAATTTTCATTATGATTTGTTTTTGAGAACAATTGTGTTAATGTTCCACCTGATGTTCACGTATATTGCTTCAGTGGACTTTTGGGAGGGTGGATTAAGAGAACCTTTTGACCTTGCCTGTGGGTTTGGGTACATTGGAGCATTTGCACACTCTTTTATGTCAATAACTGAATATCACATACTTCTATGAATTACATTTGTAATATGTTGTGTGGGATTTTCTTTAGTTGCAAATAATTGTGGATTGTGTTTATCTTGCAATCATTTTTCAGGCATTAGCAATCATTCTCGAAATATTTCATAATTGACGTGTCCTATTTTTCTTTCGAACTAGCAGATTTTACCATTCAATTTAATATTTCTGACTTGGTCAGTGGTTCTCTTGAAGTCTGTAGATTATGGTCGCATGGCTGAAATACTGGTACAGAGAGCAGCTTCGTTGGATGAATTTACTAGGTTGACTGCTATTACTTGGGTAAGGACATTTAAGGGTATGATTGCTGAGTAAAAGTATTTATCCAATTGCTGAGTAGCTTTTTGGCTTACTATACGCAATAAAATGTTCAAAAATCAAAATTGTTGGAATAATTTTTGATTACTATTTCGTCTGCAGATCAACGAGTTTGTGAAACTTGGCGGGGATCAACTTTTTCCTTATTATGCTGATATTCTTGGAGCCATTCTGCCCTGCATATCTGATAAGGAGGAGAAAATAAGAGTTGTATGTTTTTATTTTTTGAATATTGTCAATTCTTCCTTTCCTCATTTCATTTTCAAATCTATAATATTTCAAGTTAGTTACCTTTTAGAGCTTTCCCCTTTGTTGACCTTCACTTTCCTTAAAAATAAATCAATCCTTCTCCTTCATTGATTGCACGTCTTTGCTGCTGCCTCTTCTTTGGTTGGGGTGTAAATATGCTCGTGTTAACATTTCTATTAAATATCAGGTTGCTCGTGAAACAAATGAAGAACTTCATGGAATCAAGGCTGATCCGGCTGAAGGATTTGATGTAGGAGCAATCCTCTCAGTAGCAAGGAGGTATTTTTCTTTTATCCTAGAAAAAGCTAGATCTCAGTTTACGTTTGATTGATGATTAATTGTATCTCACAGAAGGTGACGGCAGAAGCGGGCTGATATAGTTTTCCATTTCCTTTAAAGGATTATGTTTGCAGTGGTGGAAATTTCTGAGTTTTCTCTTGTTCAACAGGCATCTATCTAGTGAATGGGAGGCAACGCGTATTGAAGCATTGAACTGGATATCAACTCTCTTAAATAGATATCGATCGGAGGTAATGAGGTCGTTTCCTTTTTTCCCCCCCGCTTTTTTGACTTGTTTATATGTTTCATATGCTAGTATAGGACTTTTTTTTAATGGTCAATTGAAAAGGATAGGCATGCAATGTTAGCCTCACAAGAAAGGATTAGAAAGGACTTAATTGCTTTAGCACTGTTATTAAATGCCTGAACAAACTTGAAGATGACCTTTAAGCTGTGTTTTTTTCCACTATATAGCTGTTTGATTCATTTATTAACAATCATTTCATGGTATAACCTTGGCTTCTTCAGATTGTTGTTTATTTATGAATTTCAGAAGAATTTTAAGTTTAAAGCTGTGGTGTAGGGACACTTCAATTAGGGTGGCGTGTCCATGTCCATGTCCGACACGTGTTGGATACCGACACTTCTTGGACGCCTTACCATTGTCATTTTTCTTCCTTTATTGAAAGTGTTAAATATTTTTAATTCAAAGTTATTATTAAATAACAAATAGGCGCTCTTGTTTAAAAGATAAAAAAAAAAAAAATTAGTAACAAATATAAAACTAAATTTGTACTAGAGTGAGGTTTTCGGGTGGAAGAAAATTCACATTTTAGCTTGTGAAAGAGATTGTCATGCGACACGACTAGTTATTGTGGAGGGATCATTCATGCTTGAGTTAGAATGATAGAAACTTTAAGTGGTTATATCCCCATTTTGATGGTTCCTTTCATCAATAACCTCCAAGATGCACAGGGATGTAGACAGATTGTGCTGAAGTGGAGTCCTTTGTATATAGTTCTTTAGGAAGTTCATCTCATGTTTTGTAGATAAAATGCAATTGTGATTGTTTAGGATTTTCTTAGGCTTGCAGTTGGTTTCTATTTCACAGAGACTACTTTTAGGTGTAAAAGTATCAGGAACTCTGTGTAGTCGTGTTCGCATATTTGAACATCCAATGATACTTAGGCATTTAAATAAGGAGTGAAAATTAATCTAAAGTTCTAAGTTTTGAGAAATGTTAGATGGGATATGAAAGCACAGTGACTTGAAAAAAGAGAAAATTCTCTGTATTTTTCATATATACACTACAATCGGGTGTCCCCTTTAATAGTACACGGGAAGAGTTAAAAATAAGGAAAGGAAAGAAAAGATTACAGGAAAAAGAATTATTTCCTAAATCCTAAATTGACCTAATCACCTCCAAGAATCATTCAACAATTACAATTTTCCTAAATACAAATATTAATTATGGCAGTTAAGATACTGTCATATCCTTGAGATTTCAACTGGATATCTAGCTGTTTCACCTTTCTAGGCTACGCACAAGTCTTGAGGCCTAAGCATGAGCTTAAATCAATAAAATAGTTGAAAAGATTATGGGAATACAAATTGTAGGTGTCATAGCTAACAAGTAGCTCCAGAACATGTCCAAGCTCATAATGAAGGATGTGAAACGTTTCCTGGGAGACCGCTCTCTTTCAAGACGATGCATGATATGTCAAGCTCTGATAAGGTTCTCTGCTTGGCATCGTATTAGATCACCGAAACATAAAATAGATCAACAAATCTAAAGATTATAAATTGACAAAGTAGTAATTTCATGATCATGTATCCACAACTAGAACAAATAGTAATAACACATGAAACAATTGCTCACAATTTGCTAGAACTTTTCTTGCTTTTGAATTTTGAAGAAAAGAAAAACCCTTGGGAAAGATAGAAACTAAAGTAAAAAACAGAGATAGTAGATAACAAGAATAATACAAAAGGAGAAGAATCCTTCTCTTTTCTTATCTCCAGCTCTTTCTTTTTTCGTTTCCTTGGTTGCATTGGGTTTAGAGTAACTGAAAACCTTTAGTGTTTTTGGTCCACAAAGATAAACACCATTAAAACTGAGTTTGGTATTAAGAAATGTGCAGAAATGGCAAGATGTGGAGTGAACACATCAGCTACCCTGAGGGCCTCACCAAGTCAAGGTGTATGCCGCGACAAAGGGCACTTAAAGCTTAAGCTTTGAGACTCCTAATGTACACCTCGTGCATGAGGTGTGCTTCAAGTGTGCACCTTGCATGCCCTTGAAAACACTGGTTCTGCATGGTGTATTTCAACATAATCTATATATCATAGTCCCTTTTTGTCGTTCAGCAACATCTGGTTGATGTCTTGTTACACAAGTTTGCCAAATGCTTGGCATCTAAACTTTTGCCATTGCTCAATTTTTAAACTTTGCTAATTGGGCGAGATCTTGCTTTGATGAATTAACATGTTATCTTCCACAGGTTTTGTCTTTTCTGAATGACGTTTTCGATACTCTTCTGAAGGCGCTTTCAGATCCTTCTGATGAGGTACCATGTTCTACTGCATTTGTTTCTAACACAAATTTTTGAAGCAATGAGAGAAATATCATAATGTTACAGGTTTTGCTTTTTCTACAATTAAGTTTCTGTGTTTTGTTTTTGCATGCATTTGTGCTATATTTATATAAACTGTACACTGTGTTANTTTTGCTTTTTCTACAATTAAGTTTCTGTGTTTTGTTTTTGCATGCATTTGTGCTATATTTATATAAACTGTACACTGTGTTATGTGTATGTTAAAGGTTCGGAGAATGTAAACTCTGCTGCACTTGATTGATGTAAATTTAGAAGTTTAGATGAATCTTCTGTTTCTTCTAGAGGACTTGACTCTATATTGCTCCAAATGGTACTGCTATTTTTCTATTTATTTCACTTGGAGAATGAGTGCTAAGAGGAACCCATGTACCTGAACTTCCCAGTCCCCACTCGTTGTAAAATGACAAGGAAACGAGATGAAAGAGAAGAGAACTGACTGGTATTTTGTGACCTTGAAATCTTACTATTAATGATAAATGCGCTTTCATCAATGTAACTTGTTGCCTCCACAGTGGCATACTCAATAACTTCCCTGACAAACATTGAAAAGGGGGTTCCAAAAGATTTCTCAATTTCTGCAAGATTCCTTCTCTTCTACAAGCTATAGAGTTGTTACAACAGCCTCCCAATGCTGCTGTCTAAGCATGAAATGACAGATCATTTGTTATCTGGCTGTCCTAGAAAATTAGAATTGGTTCTTACCTCTAATCTCCCTTGAAAGGATTTTACTCTGAAGAACTCATACTCGACACCTCCAACACACTTTGTCACTTTTGTGTTCTTAATCAGTAATATTGTTTCAAGAGAGTTCCAACATTTTAACTTCAGATGCTACATTTCACTTCATTTAAGAATAAAATGGTCTACTGACATCAGGTATACTAAGACAAGGGTTTGGAAGTGCAATACAGGTTGATTATTTTAGAAGCTCGATTTTGCTGGGGCCAATATTTGCATCTAGAAAGTTGTGTGAATTCTTCTGGAAAGTATACTGATATGTAATTCTTTCCTGCTGTTTGTCTTAAACTACCACGTTCTTTGGTTGGAGGGACAGGATAGTTGATGTGAAATGGAGATGGTTTTTCCTTTCATGAATTCAAATAAAGAAATTAATCCCTTGTCTGATATGAAAGGACAAAAAGTGGGAGAATGAAAATTTAATGTTGGAGATCAGTCCTATTTTTCGTTGATCCCATCTTCAATTCCCTCTTCTCTGCCCTCATATAGAATCTTTTTGTTTAACAATATCATACATACCTATTTCAGGCCTCATATTTCCTATGTATTAATGTTTACAGTATTTTACAACTAAGTGGTGTTTCCTTTAGGGACTTAGAGTACAAAATCAATTAGTTTAAAATCTACCCTAATTCGAAAAGACTTCAATACCATGCATCTTGTGATTTATAAACAAGTTTAATAGGATATTTCAATACTTTCGGTCCTTTTAGACACCTCTCTCTGCATGCTTTTTTTCATTTACTAATGTGGTCACAGAAGAACCAAGGCATGTGTTCATCAGTACTAACCCGTCTGAAGATCAATGGGAATAATATAAAGAGTTCTTGATGCGAAATCAAAAGATCTTCACTGTTCTTGAGAAAGGGAGTCACAACAGCTTAGACATTGTAATTTTTTTCCTTCTTGCTCTTCTTTTCTTCTCAGGTAGTGCTTCTGGTAATTGAGGTGCATGCATGCATAGCCAAAGACGACAAGCACTTTGTCCAGCTCCTTGTAGATTTAGTTCAAAATTTTCGAGTAGACAATACTCTTCTGGAGAAGTAAGCTTTTTAGGGCTGACTTATCTCATCCTGATGATTTCATCTGGTATGGTTAATTAGTGGATTAAATCCTATTCTTATTTCTCTTGCAGACGTGGTGCTCTGATAATTCGCCGACTTTGCGTACTATTAGATGCTGAAACAGTTTATCGAAAGCTTTCTACAATATTTGAAAGTGAATCTGATTTGGATTTTGCGTCTATTATGGTTCAGGTTGTTATGTTGAACCTAATCCAATAAAGGAATGCTATTGTGTTCTACATCTTCTAACTGGATCAGATATAGTATTATCTTCATTAGCTTCAGTTATCAACTTATCAATCATCATCTGTGCCATTTTTCGAGGGTGAAGAAATTGTACATTCTGGTATTTAATTACTCTTTTTTTTTGTGCGTGCTCATTTCTTTTTCAGGCTTTGAACTTGATTTTGCTCACTTCATCTGAGTTGTCTGGCCTTCGAGACCTCCTCAAACAATCCCTGTTTAATGATGCTGGGAAAAATTTATTTCTTGCTTTATATTCCTCGTGGTGCCATTCAGCAATGGCTATAATAAGCCTTTGCTTATTAGCTCAGGTAAGAGCCTTGTGCTTGAAGGCTTCCCATCCCTATCTGTCCCTTGTCAATTGTCATGCGTAATAATAATACTTGGGATTTGCCACCTAATTTTTTATTTTTGTTTTTTTTCTCTCTCCAGACTTACCGGCATGCAAGTTCCGTCATTCAATCTCTGGTTGAGGAGGATATCAATGTTAAGTTTTTAGTCCAGTTGGATAAATTGATCCATCTTCTAGAGACTCCTACATTTGCTTACCTTAGGCTACAGGTAATAGTAGTTTTAAACAGCACATGTGGTTGTTGATTAATCAGCTAGCTTTATTTGTGCGCTGTGCCTTATAATATGTTTTTCTTAGTACGAATACTATATTGATTATACTTGCTACTGACATTTGTACATGTATGCTGGATTGGGATTAATGTCTTGTTTATGTCTAAATTGTTTACCATCCTGCTGAGTCTGAGTTACAAAAAACTGAAATAGTTAAACATAGGGTATGTTCTATATATTTTTAAAGTGGACAACTTTTATTCTAAGAAAATGTCTGAAGGTAGTTGTGAAATTATGCCCCTGTTTTGTTCAACTATAAAGTTAGATTAAAATTTAAGTCAAAGCCAACTATTAATTTTAACTTCACATTTCATGAGATCCATAACTTTACAACTATATGTTCCATCAATTTTTATCAAAATCTAATGAAAATCTGATTTTATATGTAAACCAAATAGGGACTATACTCTCTCACGTGCAAATCTATTGGAATATAGAATAATGTTCACGAGATGGGGTCCAGGGGGAGAGAGTTTAGAAAGTTGAATCTAATCTAAATTATTAGTCTAGCCTGATTTACGAAATTGAATTTGTTTAATATAATTGAAAGTAAAGACCAAGGAAGTTAATGCTAGCAAATTGAAATGAGAAGTAACTTAAATTACCAAGTGTTTGGAATCCACCACTGTTTAACTTCATAATTTTCACGAGATTGATCCAGATGGAGATAGCTTAGAAAGTTGGTACTAATCTAAATTATTAGTTTAGCCGATTTTAAGAAATTGAATTTGTTTGAAATAATTGAAACTGAAGACCAATGAGGAAGTTAAAGCTAGCAAATTTAAATAAGAAGTAATTCAAATTACCAAGGGTTTGGAATCCAGCACTATTTAACTTCACTATCTCTAATTATTGAGTAATTCCCAAAATTAGGGTGACAACTCGAAATCAATCTATTGTCATCTCATAGATCTAACTCTGAAGCCCAAGTTAAAAAAATCCGAGATAAGTCCTTATTTTCATTTAATTGATTGTCTAAGTTTTTCCCGTATCTAATTTAATAAAGTCAAAGAATCCTAGGTGTCATGTCTTTAGAGTTCTATATATCAATTATAATGAAAATAAGACGAAGAAATGAAATCACCTTAATCTTTAAGCTGCCAAGCACTGACTACTTAAATGAATTACTAATTATAGAAAATACATAATATTACAGATGAAAGTACATACAATTTAGTTGTCTAAAGACGCAAGAACCATAAACATTTAAACACGTTAATGGAATTGAGACAATAAAAAGACAACTCTGTAAGTTTTCATTCTGTGATCAAGAAAAATTAAAAGTTAAAACGGCATAATAGAATTGAAAGACAGAGAAGATAAAACCCGTCAGAATAAAAGAAAAGGTCTTGATTTTTCTTCTTTAATTTTCGATAGCACCGAACATAGCCTACATCCCTTTTTTCTTCACCACTGCTATCGCATTTTTCTTTTGCGAAGTCCTTTGTCTTTTCTTTTTCTTCGTGTCGTCTCCCCATTTTTAGCTGCGGTCCTGTCCTTCATAAGTGCATCAGATGAATACCTTTTAGGGTTAGTCTGCGCAATGCTTTCTTTTCTTTCACTCTAGCTGCCAGCTCTTTATTTCCATAATCTGCCATCTTTATATCTTCTATTCCAACTCGAAGGCAAAATAGCACCTTATATGGGCTGGCTGTCCGCCTTGTTTCCTTTACTTGTTTTCCCCTTTTCTGTACGCAAACCAAACTCACTACGTTCCCCCTTTTTCTTTATAGAAACGAGGTTTTATTTCCTTTTTGACTGCTTCCTTCTTTTTGCTGCCTCATTGTTAACCCACGGCTGGATGCAGAATTTTTTTTCCCCC